AACCCGCAAATGATACCAAACTCAACCCAACTGAAAAAGGACACCATAGTCATGGTCGTTCTTGCGTCATGGGCTCCCTAATGTTTCCCCTGTATACATTGCCCCACCTCACGCTGACACGCCATATTTGATGTTTTTAATTACCGGCTTTGACCCTGGAAGGACTACATGATGATGGAAAGGGGGATCGGGTATGATCAGATGCAAACAAAATAAGCTGCATGGTTGCCTCATTGAGCCAACTTGTCAAGTGGCACGTACATTCGTGCCGTTTTTGGGCCTTAAGGAACAAGACTCAAGTTTGAGCCCCAAAAAGGCCAATCATCTGTTTCCTCCAAAACCGCAATCCGTGACTCTGATGTCACTAATTCAGAGTCGCACAAGGCCATGAGTAGCTGGAAATTGCCAGGGAGACCTGCCCAAAACTGGAAACACAGTAGCCTGTTGGCCCCTTGCCCGTCAGTGCAGAGCTCTCCATTTCTGGAGTAAGACTCATATCGGTTTGTGTCATCCACCAATCGCGACTACTCCGAGTACGGGGGCTTGGGACGACCACAAGCCATCTATAGGCATGCATCGAGCCAAATACCCTCACAAGCGCGGCCGAAGCTTTGGTGATAAAATACCAGGCCTCCTGCGTTAGCGCCACTGGAGCTGAGGAACCAAATGGAAAAACAACACAAGAACCACAGAGAACAGCATACATTGCAGGCCCCTCCCCACTATCAGCCCTATTGAACAGCGCCATTTCAATACGTGACGTCGTGACCTTTAGGGCCCTTTTGTGTAGGGTGTAAACGTGCTAACTTCAGTTGCCCTGCGGCCATAAGAAAGCAATTAAGGAAACGATTAATTAGAACAAGCACCTCCATCCACCCCTCTTCTTCACCGGGCCCCGAACGCCGGAGCGCGTCTCGTGCACCAAGAGCCTGGCTGGGAGCCATGCATGGCCGGGTCCCTTTACCATCATCCAAGAAGAGGGGCCAAATGAGGCAGGTGTAAGACATGCCTGGCACACAGCTGACACTCGCCGCGCTCGGCTGCAGTATAGCCAGCGATTTTGACCTTGCGTAGGGCCCCTTGAAACCGACCATCTTAGTGTTTCCCATGCTTACATCATGCTGTCTGCTGTCTGCTGTCTGCTTGCTGCCGTTGTCGTTGGTCTTGCCGTTGTTGTGGTTATGGCTTTGGCTGCTGTTGCAGCAGCTGCTTCTGTCGGTGTTGTCATTGTTGTGGGGTCGCTAGCGCTGTCGCTGTCGCCGTTGTCGTCGTGGTTCGCCGCAGCCGCAGCCGCTCTTCCCGCTCGAGTCGGTGGTACGCTGCTGTTCTTCCCCCTTACCGACTGTTATTGTGACCTTCGGGCGACCCGGCGACACCACCATCAGTTGGGTCACTTTGCCCTGGAGGGTTTACTGGATTGGTTCGCACCAGAAGCTGTGGCCCCTTCAAAGGAAAACCAACAGTCTTGTTGAAACCGAACCTATCCATCTATTTCCATCTTTTCCCCCAGCTGCAAAGAAGTCTCAGCCTATTGTCACCAGCTCAAGCCCCAGCTTCCCAATCCCTGTATGCTTTTTGTGTTCGCATCTCACAGAAACAGCCCCCACAAATGGCTGTGGCTCAAAAATCCGGTACCAAAATGGAACCCTGGTAAGTGGAAACACGGACCAAAGCCTGCGGTTTGCCCCTGTAAATTTTGACCCACACCCAAATGTTGGAACAGAAAAACGACAGAGGCGAAACACCACCAGCGCCCAGCCGACCGCTCTGGGTCTCAGCACGGCCGGCTGGACGTTGCCGGAGGCGGGGTCCATGAGTTGGATCTGCGCCTGGCGGACGGGACGCCGAAGCACCTCACTCCAAGGGAAACTGGGCGTCCAGATCTATGGCATATGTAGAATGGATCTGCTATGACATATGAGGCCATGCCATATGAAGAGGCTATGCGGGAAAAAGAAAGCAAGACCCTCCCTCAGCATCAGAAGGGACTGTCTGCAATGGAGAGGGAAAGAAAACTTTGGGGTTTTGAGGTAGCAAAAAGTCGTGTGTGATACCACGACCGTGGAAAACTCGTCCTTTCTGCGATGCCGTTGATTGGTTGATTCCCATAACTACTTTTCTCCTAGGAGATTCCTGTGGCACTTCACAGCGGCGAACTCAGGGGTTGTTTGCTATGTCCCCCTCAATGACTCAAAGCACTGGCTGGGTCACGGTCCCGGGGCGTCTGAAGCCCTAGAAGTTGATGACGAAAGGGTCATTTCACACGTCCCCTTAAAACCACTTGGCTTCTCCTGGTGAAGAAGGGGCTCACGAAATTGGGCTCCCAAAATGGAGGATGGGTTCCTTTAGGTTCCCCTCGAAGCCCCAAAAGGTGGTTAAAGGGGGTCCCTACAAATCGGCTCGTCACCAAAAGGGGAACCCGAAATGGTGGTTTCTGCTTGGTTTCCTTTAACTTAACACCAAACATCAGCTGGTAAAACATTGGAACCAAACTGACACCGCTGGAACCATCACCTGAGTCACAATCAGCTGGTGAATGTGAATTTCACCAAGTTGTCGTTCCTTTTAGCAACCCTGTCAGCCTCACTGCTGAACAACCCTGGTTGATTAACCAGATTTCCTAGGGGGGCTCCCCAACAAATGAAGGACGAAGATCCGGCCCAGTGGCTGTCTTTTGTACTGGGGGTTGGCCTCGCTTCAGCCAAGAGGAAAACCTGGAAGAGCGGATTGCCGTTGGAAAGCCGGGGGCATCATTTTTAGTTGCTTGATTTTCCAAGGGGGGCCCAAAAAAGGATCAACAAGGGTGCACAAAAAGGGCTTTGGCCCAATCGGGTTCCATTGCAGTGAATTATAGGGTAAAACGGCGTTTTACCAAACAAGGGCGTAAACATGACCAAGGTGTACAAATACGAAGCTGACGCCAAGGCTGATTGTTCCTACTCACTTCCTCGGTCTGCGCAAAAAACAAGTCTGAACCACTAAAACCTGGTCTTTCCAACAAAAACCAAAAACGAAACAAACAAAAACATATACTTGTCATTTTTGGCCACTAAAATGTTGGTCTTTCCAAACCAACTCTCCGTCCATGAACTCGGGGAGCCCCGTTTTAGCCCCCCTAGGGCTGCCCTCAGATCCCCCGCTCAAAGTTTCACTCTTCGTGGGTGAAATGGAAGCTGCCACTCAACACTAAAAGTTGCTAAAAAGCTAAGTTGAACCGGACGGCTGGGAGCCACCACTAGGTTCTCCAGAGGGGTGCCCGTTTTGCTGTCTATTTTAGGGGAGCCCTTTTTCTAAAAAGGAAACGGTAGAAGTTGGCACTGGGGGACCCAGACCAAGACCCCTCGACCCGTCGCCCCGTCGAGTCGCGGTCGCCCGCGGTGTCGAGTCCTGAGGCTGCGCCATGGCCAGCGCCACCAGCTGCCCGGTCTCGTCGTCGCTGACGCCGAAGACGGGGCCCACCACGGCCATCTGAGACGCGACCCGTCCGGTGGGTTCTGGGGGGGGGGGAGGGGCAGGGGGTGAGGCCGGTGCTTGTGGGGGGGGGGGGCAGGGAGGAGGGAACCTTTTTGTATCTGTTGTAGAGACCCCCGGTGGGTTCATGTTTTTGTCTTCTTTTTTACCCTGTCATTGATTCTCCTCTTGTTCTTCTTCTTGCTTCTTGTTTTCTTTGTCCCCCTTCAAAAAGTGGCTCCTTGTGGTTCCCTTTTTCCTGGTGTAATTATTCCTGTTGTGTTGCTGTTGTTTTCTGCTGTGTTTCTGTTGTTTTCGGTTTTCCCCCCCTAATCCCATTGATTGTCCTCTTGCTTTTTCTTCTTGCTGCTCTTACGGTTGTTTTTCCCCCTGGTCCTATTGCCGTGTTCACCGTTTCTATGGTTTTTCTTGTTGCTTGTATGCCTGCTGTATTCCTGTTGTACTTCTGTTGTCGTTACCTTGCAAATGACTTGATGGCTTGTCAAGGCGGAATTGTATTTAAGATTGAACATGTTCTTGCACGAGCTATAAAGTCTTGTGGGGGGGGGGGGGGGGGCGAGTATATGTTCAAATTTGAAATAGAGATTTGGACCCCCCCCAAAAAGCAAATAACACAGACACACACAAACACACAGAGGCACACACACACACACGCACACACACTTCGACCCGTTCATGTATTGCTTGTGCGATCATATAAGTCCCAGGGGAAACCTAATAATGGAAGCTTGAGGGTCATGTGCAGGTAACACTCCCATCCACACGAACAGAAGGAGGTCCTGGAGGACCGTTTCTTTGGTGGGTTCCATGTTAGTGGCGGAAAGGATGGACATCATGGGCCAAAAAAAGAACGAGCAAAGAACGACAAACAGGAAATAAGTTGGAAAACAGGCCGCCAAAAGGAAATGGGGTTTAGGCCAAAGTTCAAAAAAATCAACGTAAAGCCGGAAGGTTTTGCGGCAAGGTCAACAGTGCTGCTTTTGCGCTTTTCCTTCTGGTGTCCTACACAAGCCCTTTGCGCCTGGTCCAGGTTCTTGAGCTGACGGAGGCCTGGCCAGTTCAGGGGCAAGCTTTCGGCTCCCCGTTTGGTTTTTCCTCTTCGCCCCAAACCCCCTAGGCAGAAACCAAGGATTTGGGGGTCCCAAATAGAGAGAGCCCCCTAGGTAGAAACGAAGGTTTTTGGGGGTCCCTTTGCCGGTCCGTCCGCAAAAAGAGGGGTCAACACGTTTCTGGCCCTACCTGGCCGCTTTTGGAGGGGTTTTGTTTCTGGCAGAAAGGAATGGTATTTGCATGGAAACGTGAAGGATTTCCAGGCATTTGTGAAGATCCACCCTATTTTTGGGCCACCCATGCGGGAGAGTCCCTTTGGGACCTCAAGTGAAGAACCTGCCAGCCATAGGTTCTGAAACAAGACAAGGCGCTGAACAATTGCTGCTTGAGGTGAAGGCATCATTCTTCTAAGGTACCGCCAAGCACTGAACTGGCCGGAAAGGCTCAAAGGAGTCGATGCTACCACCTTGTTCCCCCAAAACCCCCCAAACTCACCACGGGCTGATGGTAAGAGGCTGTCAGTACGCTGAAGCAAAAAGGTTTGGTCCAGAAAATCGGATGTTGGCTTTCCGCGGTGAAGCTTTCGGCTGGCAAAGCAAGAAGGGAGTCAGAGATTCTCCTAACTCACATGCCCCTGTTTTGTACATGTCACTTCAAGGGGGCATATAGCCTGCTCATGATTGATCCGGCGCTTTCGCGGAACATGTGGAGGTTGACGTAAATCGAGCGACCGCTTTGCTGGATCCGTTTGGGCCATTTTGTGCCGCCATTCAAGAGGCTCGGCATAGCCAAATTGCGTCGAACCCATCGACTGCCATCTCAGGTGGAGCGTTTCGTACCCCAAAACCAAACCTGCCGACTTCCTTGGACCATAGGAAATGGTCCAATCCCATGTTCGGCAAGTTGGACCAACTGTTAACTCGTGACATGAATCTGCCATCCTTGGTCCTAAGGCAGTTGTTGGCTCCTGGATTTTCAGCAACACATACTACAGCCGCTTCCCATGGCAAAACACAAAGGCCAAAAGGTGAGGCAAGTCCGGCAAAGTCAACGGCTGTGGGTCAAAAGCCAAATCGTACCCCCAGTGAACATCCCAATCCAACCACTAAAATAGGTTCTAAAATGGGAGGTGAATTCACCTACCCCAAAATGGGATCCCATTGGTTTTGACCCACAGCCAATCTGAGTGGCAGTTCCAACCGGAAGTTGAAGTTGACCCTGGAGACAACTGACAATATAACGACACCCAACAGGGCTCCCCATATTTCCCCGTTAAACAATAACCCAGCAAGAAAACTCACTTAAAATTGTCCCAAGAGCTGATGTTAGGGAGATATAGGGAGCCTCGCTCCAGTAAATGTGTTGCATAACCAACGCGGGCGCGCCTTTCGAGCCAAAGCTGAAAACGGAGGTGGTCGCCCCGTCAGTGATGGCGAACACGCCCTTGGTCTGCCTCAAAGCACGCATCAAGCAAGTAATAACATAAGGAGTAGGGATCCATAGTTTCAAACCAGAACCAAGAGGAAACCAAGCACCTGGAGGGTTCCCGCATTTTTGAGAAACACCCATAGAGGCTATCGCCTTGTGACAACCTGACTGCCGTGCACGTGACTACAAAAACGTCAAGGAGTCCGGCGCGAGAACGCACCTTTCAGCGGAAGACCCGGTTGTACAGCTTTTAGCTTCAACTTGCCGTGGAAACTGTGCCTGGATAAGCCATCATCTCACTTTCTTGCCACTGGGTCAGTGCCACTGGGTCAGTGCCACTGGGTCAGTGCCACTGGGTCAGTGCCACTGGGTCAGTGCCACTGGGTCAGTGCCACTGGGTCAGTGCCACTGGGTCAGTGCCACTGGGTCAGTATAATTCGACTTCCATCTTTGAGAGCATGAATTCGGCTTGCCCGGCTCCCACACAACTTGGGATGTTGCCCTCAAGAGCGGACAACCCCATATGGCTAAACAACAAACAACACAAACCTTCCAAATGGTGCGCGCCATGATGGTTCCCCCTAGACCCGACTCCCGAGTCCCAACCCCTTATTTCCACCGATGGGTTCTGCTGCAGCTAAGGACCTCATGGCTCACTCGTTGAACCCCCACATTTCGGGAGCTCGAACGCAAATAGGCAAATGTATGCCCTCCAAGCACCCAAACCCTAAACCATCCTCGAACCTTCAAATCCAGCAAACACCTATTTTAAACCCAAACCCCAAAACATGTCCAGAATGTAGAGACATCCAACATGTTTGTCTGCAGAATGCAGCGTTCTAAGTCTCCCGCTGCCATGGCTGCAGCCGCCATCCGGACTTCTGGCAGAACAAAAAAACCAGGCAAGCATCAAGCAAGGAACTTGATCCAACCTGATCGAACCTTCCTCCCCTGTTGCCCCAAACGACCCGAAGGCTCTCTGAGCCTTTTCCAGCAAACCTTTGCATGCCGGGGCTCGGGGTTGGCTCATGAGCCAGGGCCCTGCCTTGTGGTTTCGGATCGATCCGCAACGCTTCGCAACTCATTCCCAACCCCACGCAAGAAAAAGAAACCGACATGTTGTGGGACCCTCACCCCATGGTTTGTTTCCCCCTTGGGCTTCCGTCGAAGCCCATCTCAAAAAAGAACGGTTCCCTTTTGGACGCGCGTCATTTGTGGAGAGGCGGCAGTCGCCAAAGTCGAAACGCGCGGCCATATTTTGACGGCCCTGGTGCGGAAAGGTGGCTGCTGGCGCAAATGTGTTGTGAAATGGATTTGTCTAGGGGAAACTTCCCCAGTCTTTCCAGGGATCCTTCTTTCTAGAAAACCACCAAAAACTCTGGGGAAATGGCTGGTTTTTGAAAAGAACGACGGCTGAAAAGAATTGGGGAATCAACCCCGCGCATTTTGGAAAGCCTGCACACAAGTACAAGTCTTGTTGGCCGACTTCTGGGCCAAGGCAGAGCTCCAGCTTCTACACATTCTGCCAGGGGCCTTACAGCGTGTTTCTGAGGAAATGACAAAAATCGAAAAACAAATACAATGTGTATATTATAAAAATGTATACAAAACTGCTTGATAGGAGACTTAAGGCCCCCCCTCCCCACAAACAAATATAACTATATATAATGGTTCCTCCTGGACCCGCCCCCACAAAAAACGAACCCACTTTGTTCTGGCCCAAACGGAAATACCCACAAAGCCACCGCAGGGGACATACAAATCAACAAGATTGCCCCAATTGGGGACCCAGGCAATTTTTGGGGGCACGGATTCGGCCCCAAGAAAGGCACCATCAGAGGATCCAGGGGATCCTTTCCACTTTTCTATAGGGGGCCCTCCCCCCCAAAAGGGCGAGCGGTGAACAACCCAATTTCGCGTGCCTGGGGCAGCTCCATCGTCTCGCTGCCTCCACCGCCTGGAGTCTGACCCAATTTGGTCCCAAGCCCATCCCCTTTCCTCCAGTAAAGAGGTTAGAATAAGTTGGTACCAACTTTTTTTCCGTAGTTTATTCTAGTAGGGGAACCCTCCCAACCAACAAAGGGGTGAGAAGGGCACCTAGCCGGGGGACCTAGTTGGGATGGTCTTTACAAGAGGCGTTTAAGTCCCAAACTGCCGAAGACCTGCGGTTCAGCAGTTCATAAACTCAGCCCGATTTTGAGGCAGCCTCCTATCCGACTCAAGCTGTTCCGGGTCTTACTCCGCCAATGCGATTGCTGTCTTGGTTTGGCGGAGTCACCCACTACCAATTTGGTCAAGGTTTTGCTCTGGCATTTGGTCCTAACCAATCGGAAGTTCTAGCTCCAGGAAGGGCCGGCGCAAAGAAAGCACCACTCGTTAAAGAGGCTTGGCCAATGTTGATTTGTAGTCCTCATAGGGAAATCACGCCTCACTTCCTGAGTAAGTTGGCCAAAACAAGTCCGAACTTTTCGTTTGCAACGCGTGTCTCCACGAAAGTTACAAACTCCAGGGACAGCAGGAGTGTGTTGCTTAATAACATCCCCCGTTAGCTGCAACCAGTTGGCTCCGTATTTCGCCGGTCTTCCACGCGCTGGACATTTCGCTCGGACTTTTCTTTTGGAACCCTGGCGACCCCCTAACATCCCACGAAAGGCGAATCTGACAACAGTCAAGCGGGCAGCAGTAGTGCCACAACAGGTGATCTCTAAAACTGCCAAACGGGCAAACCTAGGAAACATGGCGTACCCACATTAATATGGCGATGTTTAAAACCACTAAAGATCAAACTGGGGCACCTGTGTGCGCCGCCGTGCTGAGCTTCCGACAGATGGGGTGCACAGAGAGCGTGCCATCTTTGAGCACCGCCAAGTGTGCCTTTCCGCCCGACGTTGGCTACAGTGCATGGGGCTCCCGCAATTGAAGGAGATGCATTTACTTGGGGTTGGCAGGGATGGTCATCAACCCTTAACAGGAAGCGTAGACAACGACAAAATCCGCTTCGCACCGGATGAGATCGATGAACCCACAACTGAGATCACTCACTTGCAAACCGGCGCTTCGTGCTTGCGCACGGGTGCTCGGCGCGGTTGGCCAAAATCCCAGCTAACAGGCCCATGACTATCCCCACCCCCCCCCAGGTAAGGACCTCGGCCTTGCCTTCCGTGGAAAAAGTTTTGGGAACCAACCGATCAAAGACGGTCCATGAATGCGGGGATCCAAATCCGTCTTTTGTCGCTTGTAGATGCACAGAACCTGTGTGACACCACTGGCTGCCTTTCAAAGCGCAGGCGGCCTTGCGTCAGTTAAAGGGACACCAACTTTTCGGGGCCCCCCGTTTCGATTCGCACCCATATACAACTTTGATGGAGCCAGCATAATACGCAGGAGTTGTATGTTTCCCACTCAAAGTGATCTTCAAAACGTCTTTCAAGTCCAAGAACGCGTGAAACACCAGAATTATCTGACATTAGTCGGACCCTGATAGAAAGTCATAAACAAGTCAAAGAGCAAAAACTGCCTCAAACGACCAGCCAAGAGTCACAGGCCCAGCTGTGTGTTTCCAATCCAGCATGATCTTGAGGTCTGGGTTGGTCTTTGAACCGTCATAAGCGTTCTACCGTTTGCTAGGGGGCAACCATGCTCTACAAAATGCAAGTAAAGGTTGAAGATCAGGCCAAAGACCAACCCACAAACAGAACTTGCTCAGCCTTTTGCTAGTTGCCTCAGACACATGTTCAAAAGGAAAAGGTTGAATGTCGCAAGACCAACTCAGTCCTTGAAAAGTCATCGATTCCAATGGATCCAAGGCGCATCCATGACCATGTACTCAGCTTCAGGGCTCTGGGGCACGCTGAATTCCACCTCTACCTGCGGTTCGCGTCCTCCCTTCGGACCGCTTGGAGGTTGCGTGCAGGAGATCCGACACCCCGCAAGAAGTGAACTTTGATCCGCAACGAATCCCAAACGGGCAAAGGGCAAGCAGCTCAAATAGGTCGGGGAAAATGTAGTTTCCAACATAGATACAGGGCCACCAAAGACCAGCCGTGGCAAATACTGGCCTGTAAGCGTTTGTGATTCGACTAAAACTTGGCCAGGGTGCGGCTGTGTGGCAGCTCAATGCATGTGCGAGTTGCTGTTGGTATTTTAAAGCTTCCCCTAGGCTTTCATTGGAGAGGTGCTTACTGATCTCCAGGCCAAAATGCCAGCAGATTGAAAAGAAAGCTTCAAGCCTCCACAGTTGCCCGCTGGCCCTGGTGCTGGCCATTCTACGCGAAGAATCCGCCAAAAAAAGCCAAGGTCGCCACCGAACAACTTGGATGGAGTGTCAGGAGGGGCAAAAGAGGGTGCCGGAAGGACAGGAATCGGATTCCAGTGTGCCGTTCGGAAATACAACAGGCAAATTGGACTCGCTCACCACTTCCAACCGAACCGGGAGAGGGATCCGGGAGGAAGGGATAGAACACATGCCTTCGATTTGAAAGGGGGCTTGTTTAAGAGGGAGCTTAGTGTGAAAAAGCGTGGCTTGTTAAAGGAAAGAGGGCTTGTCAGAAAACTCGGGGCTTGTCCCATCGTTTCGAAATTACGAGGTTTTTCAAAACTCTGGTGCGACTTCCTTCCGTGCTGTCTCATTTTGTTTATAGACTTGACATTTCTTTCAGGTAGACGAAGGACCAGGGGGTCTTTTTGCAACCTTTTGCGAACAAACTGATCGACCCCCTCGTAGTGAGGATTCCTTTTTGAGGGGGTCGCCCATTTTTCTCCCGAAAGGTGGCAGAAAGACATGCGAAGGACTGCACCTTCTCCAGAACCTTGCCGTTGAGGTCCAGCTTCTGCAGTATGGATCCACCGGCCTTGCACTGCCATGTGGCCATGGGTCAGAATCCCGTACCCCCAGTGAACATCCCAATCCCCACTAAAAAATACTAAAATGTGTGGTGCACCTACTCCAAGCTGGCACCATTGGTTTTGACAACCACAGCCATGTTGACGGATCAATTTCTGCACCCGGTAGGTGGCTGGTCCCACTCAGAGGGCTTCGTCCATCCCAACTGACGCAGGACGAAAGGCGTGTCCATCCACAGCAGGAACCCCGACATTTGCTGTGTAACATGTCCGAGGCAAGTAAATCGGGGCGTCTCCGGAAACTGAAGCCCTAAGCCAGTGGATCCCGGCGGGTGGATTCACTGGGGAAACCTCAAGATACCTTAAGCCCAAACCATTGAACTGGCGGGAAAGCGAAGGAGGCACCCGTTTCTTGAGCGGTTGGTTGGCTGCTTGACCCCGGGCAGTCAAAAGTGTCTGGAAAGGAACAACACTTTGAGGGATCGTTCTCAAAGGGGCAGCAAACACACCCCAAACGGGCCCCAAACCCCTGAAATCACTCAGGCGCTGGCTGGAAGCGACGCCAGAAGGCAAACCTCAAGCTGAGAATGCCTCCATGGCTTGTTCCAATAGGGAAGCCCCCCTTCAGCGCATGGATGGGGGGGGTCCTAAAATGGGGCCCCAACCCCTTCAAGATGCTTGAAAAGGAACCGATGGCCAACCCACCCAACACACAGGAGTCGTCATTCATGGAAGCACCCACATACATGTCGCCTCAGGCAACCGGCTCGTTGATTCATGCTGCTCTTGAAACAGCAACTGATGACATCGCTAGTTATGGGGGCGCCCATTCTCAAACGAATGTCTTGCACACTGTTGACTGGTGAGTCATGCTCAAATTTGGCATTGAAGGGTCTACCCCAAACAATGGCTGACACCCCTTGCCACCCCTCTTCGGGCTATGCGGCATGGTTTTGGACTATGGAACCCGTGAAATGGGGTTCCTTGCAGTTTGCCTAACCAACACCAATGGTACCAACTCGCGAAGACAAACTGTGCTCATTACTGCTGTTTAATTGCTACTGTCATCGTCAACAGCATGCTACGCATCCAACATCAAATTGTGTTATCAAAAAAACACATGGTGTCTCGTGTTTGCAATCCCAATATGCGTATATACATCACACATTTCAGGATGTTGTTCATTCACAGACGTCTTTTAGTGCAACCAGTTTTGCCCAAGAAATACCCAGGGGCGGCTGAGGGTCCTGAAAGCTGTTGAATCCAAATGCTATGACTAGGTCCTCCAGTACCAACTTTTTTTCTGTAGTCTATTTTGGTAGGGGGCCCTCCCAACCAAAAAAGGGGTGAGAAGGGCACTGGGGGACCTAGATGAGGGTCCCGGTACAACGCTTCTCACTGACTGCACCTGATCGCCCCGCAACAGCCTGGGCCCCGGGCGCCGTCTTTGGATGCCGCCGCTGCGACGTACCGCGCCTCTCGGAAGCGAGAGGAAGCTGGGAAGCTCCATGGGTCAAACAAGAAGAGGCAGGGAGGGGGGAAATAAAATGGGGGGGATTCAAACAAGTGGGAGGGTGTCGGAAAAAAAGGAAGCCCGTCCAAATTTGGGTCCACCAACCATGTTTGACCACCAACCGTGAAGTTGAAAGTTATGTCCATCAACCATCTGTGAGGCCGAACTTGGGATGATGAAGACTTGTGTTCGGGTGAAGCTGGGATACAAAGCTTAAAACTTATATCAGTCAAGCATTTCACCTGACGTTCCCCATTGAAATTCCTAGCCATCTGTGCGTAAGCAACTAGACCCTGGTCTCCTTAAAGTGAAGCAACGTCAAATGGAGGCTGTTTCACAGCCCCGGCCCGGCAACCTGATGGATGATGACCGCATTCCGCTTTGTCCAATTCCACCGGATCTTTGTCACGGTGAAGAGGACCCAGAAGTAAACCAATTTGCTTGCGAGATAACGTTTGTGATTCTCCCAAAAGGAGCTTGGGTTTGGGTGCCAAGTGAGCGGAAATCCTATATATGGCAGAGTTCAACATGTCCAACATTCGGCTGCCAGTTTTGGGCACCCTTTGTAGCTCCCATAGTAGAGGGTCAGGAGAACTTGAAGATCACGTCCTCATTGTGGTGTCCTTTTGGTTTCATTGACAATTTTTGGCTATTTAGCCCCCATGTCAATCGCAACAAAACAGCAAGGGCGCCCTTGGGGGGGTCTTTCAACTGACTCGGACGAGCCCAAGTTGTTGCTGGGCCTGCGCCCCGGCGTCCTTGCTGCTGACCATCCTTAGGAAGTATGGAAGTCAGGCAACGAGTTGTCAACAACGACGTGACTGCGCTAAACATCTGCTGAAATATGATGAACATATCAAGCTCCTGACAGTGGTACCACTGTGATGTGAAAGATCTGCTAGTTTTAGACAGTTGCACATCAGTGATGCTGAAAGAATCTGCTGAAATATGCCTGCTGAACATATGAAGCTCCTGACAGTGAGGTACCGACTGATCCCTCTTTGCCCTCTCCGCGCAGTGGGAAACCCTGGAAAACCGAAGACTGAGAGGCCCACCATTCGGACTTCCCCGCGAGATTCCGGGCCTCCACCTACGGTGAGAGGGCAGTTGCACTCACATGCCAGTGCTTCCCCGAGCCAATCCGTAGTCTTATGGCAACTGTTCCAACTGGATCTTGATATGAACGGGCCCCCCTCCAAAAACATTCAAACAAAAAACAATAACGGCACCACTGAAGGTCGGGGGTTGACCTTTGCCATCCACCAGCAGGGTTTCTTGTTTCGTGGGATGCCCGCAGATTGTGCAACAAGTTCAATCTCGCACCATTCCTGCTCAATTACCGCAATCCGTAAACAACAAAAGCGCTTGATCTGGCTACATGCAGGAAGGTACTTGATTTTTAGCCCAATATATTGTACATATACATATAATGCATGTACATATATATATATACACATTCATATACATATTAAATATTCATATGTACATGTATAATTCCATATATATATATATATATTATACACATTATAGATATGTTGCTTCGAATTGCTCCGTTTCAGGTTCAACATTGCAAACTTAGTGTTTACTCGGCATTAATGGGCGTTCCCTAAAAGTAAATACCCTCAGTACCATGAGTTTCGCTTTGGTTTCCCTTCAACCAGCATTTGAGGCCTCTTACAACACCCTTCCCGTGGACCAGCAAAATCCAGCAAAAACAAATCAGCATGAGGCCCCAATACACTATACCTGGACATTGGGGCGAGAAAAGACGGACCCCTTTCTACGTATTGGCGACCCTGATCAGACGAGAACAGCTCTGCCGGGTGTCACGGTGTCAGTTGCCCAGTCCCACGCTGGGGGTGGAGCACAATTGGATATGTCTCAAAATAGAAACAGGTCCATTTCCTGAAATCACTTGGTTTCCTGAAAGAAAGAAGGGCAGCCAACTGGTTCTCTCCTTTTTGGTTTCCGTGACATACCAAACAAAAAGGGGTCCGCATCCCATTTTGAGAACAGAGACAGAGCCTCCCAATTGACCCCCTCAGGTTCCAAACGTGCCAAGCCCAGCCTCTTTGTCCCTGAGCACCAAAACCGAAGAGCTCAGCACCACCAGATCGAGCACCTGAAAAACACGTCCGACTCCCCAAAAGTCCCAACACACGTCCCCCCCAAAAAAATATCCTCACCAGGAAACTCCCTCGCCAAAACGCCTGGCTCGCGGGTTTCTATTGGTGGTTGGCGGATCTCAACGTAACCCTGAGAAGAGCTGTTCTCCGTGCTGGCTTCCTTCTACCTACATAGAGGTGGGTCTAGATTTCAAGATCGCCCCATTTGTGAAACGCCCATTTGGGAAAGACTTGCCTCAAACCGCAGCTGTTCACCACTTGCCGCAATAACCTTTCGCCACGGCAATGGCTGTCCACCAGCCCGTCACAAGCACCCTTGGCTAGCTTGCACTGGTCTCACTGCGTGCATCTGCCCTGAAGAATCATGCCCACTTTGGCTTGGCAAGCCTCTCCTGTGCCCGCCTTCTCGCCGAAGTCTTTCTGCCAGCTAAGGTCACCTGCTGCGCCTGTCAAGATATCCGAAAAGGGCTCGTCTTGAGATGGGTCTGGACCCAGGCAGAAGGCTCCGTATCCTTGAGACCGGAACCTTGAAGGCTTGTAAGAATCTTGGGGGGAGCGGGCCCCTGTGTCTCTCCTGAGATATACCCTTGATATCCTGTTTGAGACCATGCAAACGTGAGGCCACTTTCACATAAGCCTGGTGGTACTGTTCAGGCTGACCTGCAGCTTCTGTTCAAAAGAATGTTTGAGGAAGGGTAGATGGGTCCTATTGCTTTTGCCCAACGAAGCACCTTTTTTGGGTTTGCAAGCTTGACAAGCCTGGCGATAGAACGCCAAGGTTCTGAGGCTTACCAAAGGCCCAAGCAAGTGCTGGGACTCTACGATTTAAGTACGGCAAAGCCCACCAAAACAAAGAAACCAAGCCACACACCGTGCGCTGGATTCTTGAAAGCTCCAATGCCAATGGCCAAAGCTGAAAGCCATCCCACCATCTCAGTAAGGGCCCTTACAGGAATTAGCTTGACTTCACAGGGAGAAAATGGGAGAAAAAATGAGTTCATTCGGCGTGGTGGACAAAGCTCGGAACACACTGAACCGGGAAAGCCCTGCTTTTGCTTGGCCGAAGAATAGGCAGGACATCATACCTGTCATCACGTAGAGCACATCACAAGTGCGCAATTCAACGGAACAGCTCGTCAAGCCCAGAACACCAAATCCAAACCTTTTGGTGGGGATAGTGCTGGCCGAAGACCACCTATCTTTGGCCATGCACAAATGCTACGATCGCGAAGAGATGATGGCGGGCTGAGAGCTTCGGAGCAGCCTGGAACAGGAGCTTGAACGCAACTCATCAGATTTGCTAAGTACTGAATTACTACAGATCGTTTCAGCGCTCAGGCTGAAGGAAGGTAGGCCCCAGGATAACGCGCCATACCCAAACTCTAAACAACAAAAAGCCAGGACTTCTGTGAATATCCGTGTTTGGTTATCAACACATACACGCACAAAACAGAACAACACCAAGCAAGGCAGGGAAGGCACGCTGCCACATCGATGCAAGGTGGTGGCTTCCAGCGCTCCTAACAGTCGCCTACAGCGCAAGCACTGTAGAAGAAATCATTGTATAAGAAATTGAGGGGCTGAGAGTCCCAAATCAAATATCAAATAGGTTGCAACTGCATTTGCTGCTAAGAAATACAGCCCCCTAGAAATTGCGCCCAATTTATTAACAAATTTGTGCGAAAAGAACGCATTTTTGACCATCAGGGGAGTGCCCGCTAAGAAATGGAGCCCCTGGCGGCCTTCAGCCCTTTCACAGACGAAATGGACGCTAAGCAATTCAGCCCTCCTGGGCCTCGACCAACCGATTTCTGAAACAGCCCTCGACCAACCGATTTCAAGTGGGAATCTTGGAATCAGCTGCCTGCAACCTGCTTCACTGCTTGCCTGAATATTCAAGTCTCCAGGCTTATGCCGTAGGCCCGTGCTGCTCCAAGCGGCCCCTTTTAGGGGTTGACCATAGATGGCGCTAGCTTCAGTGCTCACATTTACCACTGAAGTCCGTCTGTTTGTCGATCCCGAAATACGACTGGATGGTTTTTTTAAAGAAGTGAAAAACCATATGCACTGAAGAGCACCGCAATCACGATAGTCTCTTGAGGGGCACCCCCAATTGATTGATCTTGGTGAGACAAACCCAACTTTTTGATTGGACCAGGTGGACCCTAGCATTCCAGTGAACGCCTTCGGCTCGGAACAAAGATCCGGCACTGCGACTCTAAATGGGGTTGTCTAAAAATGGGTGCGGATTTATTTTGGCATCTTTTTCAAGAAGACAAGAAGCCAAAAGCGAAAAAACAACAATCAACCAAACAACAACAACAACAACAACAACAACAAAACACATCAAACAAAAAACAGAACAAAAAGGAAAAAAACAAAGAAGAACAAACAAAACAACAATCCTCAAAAAAAAAAAACCGCCCTAAAAACCTATGGGAACCTGCAGACCCCAAGGTGAGACACCTCCGTCGCTTCTTTTTCCCCAACCCCGGCGCCTTTCCAGGCCTGCACTAGGCCGGTGTCCTGCGGTGTTCCGGACTTGTGCGGCGAATTCACATCACGCATGCGTCTCTAAAGATTTGTGTATGCAAATATATACATTTGTTTACTCAATATATACTCTTCTTTAATATTGACTCTTATCATTTCTGTGTGTTTCTATTTATTCATTGTTTACATGTGCACTAAAAAGTTGGCACATAGCCAAATGGAAGGTGTGTGATCCGAAGTCTCAGGTACGAGCCCGGAAATACACCCTGAGTATTATCCCAGGTTAGCAGTGGGCACGCAGACTCTCTGAAAAGTGCCGGCACCCGACTATGTGCAGAGTGCAGAAATGCCCTGCAAAAGCCTCAAACATCTTGTGACCGGCAGGGTTTCAACTGAATGTATGAACTCGCTTGCATCTCCAAATGGCATATAACATCTGTCTATATATATATATATATGTATAGTCTACAGATGTATACAGTACATCATTCAACCCATGGGTTTCTGAGTTGCGTCTTAGTTTATGAACTCTGCGAATACATGGACCCCCGAAATGAATCCCTGGATGAAGCTCTCGTGTGGGAAATGGCCACGTGTTTGAACGCATGGCTTCATACGAGCCTTGGATGGCGGGGCTTGTCACCTTTCAAGGCAGAAGGCTCCCTAGTTTTGCCCCCCAAACATGACCCCTCCCAACAAAAACTCAGCTAACATTGGCAACCATCAAATGCTGGTTTTGGAAATGCCTGAAAGAAGCGCATTCAAGAACTGATCGAGTGGACCCACCTGAATTCATGGCCATGGTGGGTCTGCCATGGCTGATTGTTTCCGGTAGTCAAGCCATGGCGCATGCAAAATTGCTGGCTGCTTGGGGACATCCCCCTCGCGGAAACACATGTTGACACTCCGTCTTTTTTAGTGTTTCCCAACACTTTCTCACTCCTTTCAAAAGCAAGCTCACTCAGCGCACCCACTGAGTAACAGCAGAAAAAATGGCTGACGCTCCCCTTTGCGAACATTCTCTGGCAACTAAGTCCAACCCCCTGTCGAGCACAACTGGAACCAGTGGCTGGGAGTGGAATTCTCAGCCTTTCGGGATCAAAATCTGGACAAAGGCATTTGGAACCCCACGCGCGCAAAACCCACAAGGCAACTCTAATCCAAAGACCTTTTGCAGTTCCAGTCCAAAGGCTCCAATTGAAGTCATACCCTGTTGGTCAGAATGAGTTGGGCAGCAAATGCTTTCTAGCAAAAGGGTGCTGTCTTAAACCACCAATATCTTGGTTGACGTTGGAAGAGGAGCAAACAATTAAATTTTAGCAGTTAAGTGGGGATTTCCCACTACACCACAATAAGCAAAAATGTAAACTGTTTCCCAACAACAACCATGATATACGCGTGTGCCTTTTAGCTTGGGACCCAAATGGGTTGTTGTCCCGTAACCCCCGTGAATGCCGCCAGCCCAAAAAGGGCTGCTGCCTACGTGGAACAGAATTTGGTTTTGAGGGTGGTTGGGTGTCTGGTTGTGGGGAGACATACATGAACTCATTCAGGCTTTGGCTTGCAGCTTTGGAGTTGTGGCTTAGGGTTTGTTTGTTTTTTCTGGATTGGTCTGGGGGGCTTTGGGGCGACATAGCGGACAAATATGATTGATTCTGGATGTGTGTGTGTGTGTGTCTGCTTCTCTGGTCGAGGGCTTACCAGTGTTCGCTTTTTTTTGGTGGGGTTTTGAGGGTGTGTGGGTTTCGTGTTTGGGGGAGGGACACGTACTGTGGATGGACCAAATCGACTTCGCACCACCCACAGTGTGTGCCTTTGTCAAAGCGCCCTGTTTAACCAACATGATCATTCAACATGTACCCTTTTTCCAATAATAACGGAAGCTGACCCGAGGATTTTGAAGGACTCCACTCCTCTTGAAAAGGACCAGCAGGGGAACCCACCATTTGGAGAGATTTTTGGTTTGTTAAGACACCCATATTGTGGGTATGGTTGGTTCAAAGCAACCGTCCCGTTGACTATCATTCAATGCGTATCCACTCTCCAACAATCATGGCAGCGGATTGTGTTCGCTCTCAAAGCCTAAACCAAAACCCCAAACCACAGCCTACATGCGCTTCATGTATCATGGCCCAACCAGGGTACAACAAAAACTACTGTTTTGTTTCAGTTTCATATTTGGTCTCCGCCACATTTCTGGGTCACTCATCCCTGCACAACAAGTCAAACCTTTGCAGGTTTCGAAAAACAATGCGGGTTTAAAAGGCTAAGGGCCGACTCGGTCGCACAGACCAGCCATGATACAATATGTTTTTGGAGACACCAGGTATCTGCAATTTCTACAATAATTCCAAAACCTGAAAGAATAGTTGGATCCACAAGTACTGGACTTACATTCCGAGCACATTTTACTTTAGAATTGGTGGGCTCGAATCCCATAAAGTTGGCAGAAGCGATATAAGGCGCTCAATAATTCTACTGGGGTAGGGAATTTGCGTCACGAAACCAAACTTAGTCACACGGGAATGCATTTGGGTGCGTCTTGTTGCCAGGGTACCCCTTTTTCGGTCTTACAGGCAACCCAATCTTGAGGCTGAAGCCATTTTGTGGGCCCCAACCTTTACAAAACACACACCACAAAACATAAAACCGCAGCGATTTTGGAGGATCCCCCCGAAAAAGGCAAATAACAAATTATTCTTTGTGTAGCCCCTTGTATGGCCATGGCTCAAAATCATGTACCCCCCAAAAACATCCGATTCAATCCAACCACTAAAATAAGTTCTTTCTTTGGGTGGTCCGTATCCAGCCCCGCCCCAGATCGCGAGGGGCGATGAGGCAAGCCCCTTTCGGTCCGTGGCGCTGATGAGCCCCCGCCCCGCGGGGCGCAGCAGCGCCATGGGCTCCGTGGACGCCACCTGGGCAGCGGGAGAAAAAAAAACGAAATTCCGCAGGGGAAAGCCGGGGAAACTGGGGGAAGGTATGGGGAAAACAAGGAGAAACCTGGGACAACAAAGTTCGCTCGCCTTGGCCCCCAGATCCGGGAAGCGGTCAGACCCCTTCAGAACCTCTTTTAAACCCTCTAGGGCTGGGAGGTCAGATCCTTTCAGCTTCAGGCAGATTGTCCCTGATCCAGCCCCGCAACAATGGAAGCCGGCCAACTTCCCATCTAGCTCCGGTCAAAACTTGCTGGAAACCAGTCAACTTCCTCCCCTCCACCACTCCGGTCAAATCCCCCTAGAAACCGGCAAATTTCCGTTAAAACTGGCCAAATGCCCCCCTAAAAACCGTAGAAACCAGCCGAACTCGCTTCCAGAAACCTGTCAAATCCCCTCTGAAAACAGGTCCGACTCCCGTCAAATCCCCCTTTAAAACCGTCAAAAACAAAAAACCCTCCAATACCCTAGAAATTTGGACCTTCGCTTGGCCCACCATTCTGTAGCTCTCTGCGGCTCTCGGTCTGGCCCTTGAAGCCAGGTGGAATTGTGCAGACATGCGCCCACCCGCTAGCTTGGAAACCAGCTCACGCATTTCGGCGCCGACTCACTCACTTTAATAACATCACTTCAAGGCAAACTGAAGCACAGTATATACCTCAAAGCCAGCCAAAAGCGGACTGGCCGAGGCGGGCAACGCGAAGCGTTTACAATGAAAAAAGGAGAAAAAGCTGGGTAAGGACTCCGTCCGGGCCAAATTTACGCCTTGCAACGCGTTTCGGCACGAGGCTATAGAACCTCTTGAAGTCCGCAAATGAGAAAAAAAATGTGAGGGAAAGCCGGGGAAGGTATGGGGAAAACAAGGAACCTGGGACCACCTTGGCAAATGTTGAGGGGAAACTCGGGCAAGCAAAGTAAAAACGAGGGAAAAGCCAGGGAACACGCAAAGTGAATAGTGAGGAAAGCCAGGAAAGAGCCACAGCAAAGCCAGGCAAACAATCAGGAAACTAAGAGCAAAGAAAGCTAAGGGGCGCATTTTCTATCTGTTCTATGATTACTATGCCCCGAGGTTTCTTGACAGGCTTCAACAATTAGCGCTGACAGAGGGAGTAAAGACATGGTCTCCCGGAAACGCGGAAAATGATTCTGCAGCGTGGCCGCAACCCATCTGGCTGCTCGCACGATGGGAAATCAGAATCAAGGGCATCTCGTGCTCCTTGCACCGTCTCCCAGCTATACGCGTCGGCGCACGCGAGACGCTGCAGCTTGTCGATTGATGGAAAAGCCACAGGCTGTTGTTGTCCAGGGAAAGGTCCGGGCTAGATGTGAATGTGCTTCCACGAAAGAAATAGTCTTAACTGCTATATTTTGTCTGATGAGCCTTGGACTTGTATGCAAGCAAAGGTTGTCGTTCGATTTTTCAACCACTCACAACTTCGAATGCTCAGAAAGCAAAATCGACGAGCTGGCTTTTCTTTTCGCTGACAACTTCTACTGGGGCCAAATAGGATCTTTTTGGGAAACAGGGTCAATCGAAAATTATGGACTATTTGAGCTATTTGGGGAGCTTTTGTTGAGGATACCCTTTCTACCTTGGTTTAAAGGCACAAGAGGAAAGCCGCAATGTTGGGTGTATTTTTCTGTTTTGGCCAGGCACGCCTCCTGCTTAGCCGAGAAGCAACCAGAAAAACAAATATCACATAGCTTGCAATTGATTCGTGTATGTGGCATATACCACATACTTAAGGCACCAAAACGTGCGCTTCCACGCTGAGATATCACGACCCTACAAGCTGGCAAGCCATTGCTCCAAAGAGCTTCCGTACGGCTCGTTGTTCTTCGTCTGCTTGTAGCTGGGTAAATTACCAACAAGCCTCTGGATGACCATCCTAAACGTGGCCCTTGCAAGATGGGACACGAAGGCAATCAATCAAGCACACTAGTCGTGTGCTGCTGCACGAAGGGACTTATCTAGGCATGCGTTTGCCTTGGGGGGCCACAGGTGAACGGAGTCACGCTCGATCCTACGTTTCAAGCCATGCATGCAGAAAACCAGCTCACACCGACTCGAAGCTACAATGGTTCAAGGACTCCGGGGATTTGGATGTCAGTTTTTGAGGGTATGTGCTTCTTGTGGCTGACTTAATGGGGAATCAAAGAGGCAGAGCCATTTCTTTGTTGGAGGGGGGCCCATTTGAGACAACCTGAGACTGTGGCCAAGTTTCCATTGGGTTTGTCTCAAAGTTAGGGGACCCCCCCCCAGTTTTGAAGATCAACCAAAAGGGGGTCTCCAAATAAAACATGCATATACTATTGAGGTGGGTGACCCTATTCCGTGGGAAAATGTTTCACTTTGGCAACATATTCAACAGCAAGGACTGATTTGTTTCACTGTGGGGCTTCCCTTAGGTGTCCCTTGGGAGAAATCGGTGACTGCAAATGGTGAGGACCGAACTGAAACCAGGCCCATCTATTCTCAACCAAACACATCCCCAACGGCTGCAGTCATCCGCCACCTATGTTCCCATCACGTCTCTGTGATCAGCCCTGTCTGAGCAATCCGCCCTCCGCCACTGCAGTGATCCGTCCTAGACACCCGTAACAGGCCATATAACCCCCCCCCCCCCCAAAACACCCTGCTCAGCATGAAAGGACATCCAAAGCACAGGATATTGGGCTGGGACAATACCCAATAAACCAGCACTTTGCGGGGGGTCAAGCGGACCTTGCATGCAACGCTCAGCTTGAACTTGCCCCCTGACTGGGTTGACTCATTTTTTTAGCGGCTCAATTTGGCTTCGAAAGAGATATGCTGGCTGGCTTGCAGGAATAGCTTTCTGCATGAATCGGCCAAACTCGCTCATGCGTCCCTCCTGTAAGGACCCTGCATCATCCATCGGCGCGTGTTAGGCAGTACTGAGCTTCTCACTCACGGGGCGTCTAGCCTTGTCTTATGGATAAAACTCCTTTGAAGGCTTCTGGATTTGTGATGAACAGCTCCTTGTCATGCGCCTGTTTGTGGGTGGTAATCCTTACCCTGGTGCAGTGAATCACACTATGCATCTTGGGGAACCATCATGCTATCCTAGACAACCAGCACCTGGCTGCATGCAGCATACCTTGAAGCACTGCGAACTCCTGTGCCCCGTCCTGCATTGACATGGAGGCTACAACGCCAGACCTCGCAGCCGCCGGAATGCGTAGGGCCGTGGGAGATTGGTAGCTAAGAATACTAAAACCTAAATGATCCATGAAGGCAAACCAACTACAACAACACCGCTGGGGAAGGCAAGTCAAACGCTTTGGACTGTGTCTTGAGTTCCACTTGCGTAAAAGTTTTTGATCCACCAGTTTGCAAATCCCAGGGTCAAACCAGTTCATATGCTTGACAATTGCAAAAGTAAGTCTTGCCTGGTCCTACCTGCCAAGCGGTTGGTGTGCCTCGAAGCAGCCGTCTCACTACTCTCCCTCACACGCGAAACCTAAAGGACAAATCCTGGTAGACCACTTCTCAAGACGTTCGAGCAAGTTCCACGTGGGCATTGAGCTTTAAGAACTGTAAAGAGCTTGCGAGTGGTTGGTGGGCACGAATCCTGGAATGATGTCCACCAAAGGGTCCCCAAATAAAAAAACATCGAACCCGTGTTCGTAGCTGAGACGCAAAGGACCTGGAAGCAAAAGGTCAATCTTTCGGTGTCATGCCTAAACATGGACCAATAAAGGAACACCAAAAGGACAAAAGGCCGGCTTGGGACAACTCTGAGGTTCTACGAAAACGGCTATGAAAGTTTCAAAAATACCCCTGACTAATGCCCAAAATCAACATATCCACCACAATGATCTTCCCAACAAGCAACTCAGGAAACGAGCATCCCGCCAGTCCTGTTGCATCCCAAAAGAAAGTCGCTTGCCATCCTTCGTGGTTTTCTGTTGGGCGCATTCCACTCAAAACTTCATGGCTATCCCCCCCCCCCCCCCCGCCCCTTTTTTCTTTTTGCTGGGCAGTGGGGCGGAACCAAGCGAAAAGCATGCAAGAAAGTAGAATTCAAGAAAAAACCATCGCCCTGAGCCCTTGAGATGGATTGTCAGGTCCCCGGCTGCGTGGCTGCATAGATGCTGTCGGGATTCTCACCGGAGAAGGCGAGCGCGGTTGGCCTCGGAGGCCAGAGTTGACGCGCAAAGGGCATGTAAGGAAGCTTGCGCTGGTGGTTTTCCCAACATAGGGGTTGATTCCTTGTCCATTCTTTCAGACATCGTTCTTTTCAAAAACTGATCGCCATTTCCCCAGGGTGTTTGGTGGTTTTCCAGAAAGAAGGATCCCTGAACAGAATGGGGAAGTTACCCCTAGAAAACTCAAGGGAAAAAGGGTACCCTCAGAAAACACAAACGAATGCTCGCATGCTTCACTTATGAAGTTGCCCCTTCACGGTCCCAGTTTGACTTTATGAAACGAAGGGCTCCTGCAGGACCTGCTAACCCGTTCCAAACGGCACATCTCCCGAATCTGCTGAGCTCCGGTCGCCTATCATGAAGTTTGGGCGGGTTCGTCGCAAGCATGAAACCTGTTCATTAGAACCCTGGGAAAAGTACGGAACCAGTACATGAGGTCGCTTGAACATGTTCAAAGCCTTCTGCCCCACATTCATTCAACCCTCCCTACGACTCTTGATATTGGGAGTTGCATCCTGGCATAGACTTTCGCTGACTACGGGACGGCAAGTTTGGAAGAAGAGAAATGACTGGCGCTGGTCTTCGACATCTGTTGTTACCCTGGCGCATGTTGTAAGCTGCACGACTTGCACAGTCAACACCCCCAAAAGAACCATTGGTTGATCATAGAGAATCAGGCCCTGTCTGAACCGATGTTGAGAAAACCGGTTTTGTTCACTTGCCCATCGACATTCCAACATGTTTCAGTCAAGCGTGCCTCTATTGGATGTTAAAAAGGAAACTAAACGTAAAGACAACAAAATCTAGGGCTCCTTCAAGCCACCAAAGAGGTGGTCGGTAGCGGTCCTTTGCAGAAAACACATATACATCTACTCCCTGTTCTGCTTTCCAAACATTTGGCATTCCAACTCGACAAACGAAGACACTTTCTTTGTGCGAGCACTTAAAAAAGTGTGTTCCAGGCCCGGGCGTGCGACACTCGACGTGTGCAATCTTTGGAATCCCTGGCCAGCTCATGCCCGGAGATGCTTCTGATGGGGATTTCGCCCGCTCGTCTTGGGCTAGCTGTCTCCAAATGGATGAACCCTCAAAATGGTAAATGGTCGTCAGCTTCCCTTTGGTTTGGTACCCCTCGAAAAATCATGGGAGCTGGCGGGAGGGTTGTGGACGACTACTTTATCCTTTTGAAGGCACGCCCCCCAAAACCGACTTTCAACTGCCATCCGAAAAGAGACACACCCCTATGTCCAAGGAGCCCCTGCGATGGTGTCCAAAACCAGAAAGGACTGCACCCCCGGCTGCCATCTGAGATCTGTGCTTGCCGATCTGCTTCAGGGACCAGTCGTACTGTCCCACCTCATTGAACATTCGCGACTAGATCACATTTGCATTCGAGTTCAGAATCAGAAAAGTGCGCTTTTTTTTCCGCTTTTCTCCTGGACTCTCATAGAGGACCCTTTCATTCTAACTTTGAACGGCTGCTTGTTGCCTTGCCTTGTCTTGGAGGAGCCTTTCTCTCAATTCCTGTAGCTTAGGGCAACGCCCAGCTTGAGAGATGCCCATGCAGTTGGCATTTTAGGTCCCATGAAGATCTGTAGCCTTGACACCTTGCCCTCTGAACAATCTGCCCATGGTTGATCCAATCAGGCCCGAGGCTCGTTTCTTCACTCACACCTCTCTTGGGCGGGTCCAAATGATGGTCCCCTCCTGAAGGGACCCTTTTCCAAAGGCGACAAATGTTATGCCACAAAAACGGGTGATGCTTAAAACCACCCCTTCAGAGGAAACACAGCAACCGCTTTGGAAGCTTCCCAAACGTTTCATCTCTTGCCAGGTGTAGCTTGAGTGAGCCTGGTTTCCCGAAGCCATCCACAGCCCAAGAACTTACGAGGGCTGTGATACCAACACGGGCTGTCTGCATGACTACTTTATGACTTGAAAGGAGGTTGGTATCACAGCAAGCGACCCTTGAACCCAACTTTCCACAACCATGAGAAAACCCTCACTTGAAGAGCATTCCTTGGATCCCATCCCTGTAAAAACAACTTGACTCCGCCTTGCCGGCTCGACAAAACCAGCATGAAACTTCCACTTGAAATGGACCCCTTCCATAGAAAACGCCTGGCTCGCCCGGGAAAACCTGATGTGCCGCTTTTCCAAGCCCTTGCATGTAGACGCTGCCCATTCAGGATGCGACACATTGACAAAGGATTGGAATGACGGTTTTCACGAAACCTTTCCACTAGCAGCACATCCTCAAAAAGATCTTGGCTGACTCATTCCATTTGAGCACTCCCGGTGGACTGGGAAGACCAGGTGCCATTGTCTGTGGGTTAAGGATAAAGAACGCAAAGTGCGACCTTCCTTGCTACTCTCCAGATCAACATGGAGCACCAAAAGCCATCATTGCTTCCAGTGGCGTCGCTCTGATTTGCTGGATCATGTTGAGTGTCTCCTGTTGGGGGCTCCCTGTGAATCTGCAGGGAGGTCCAAGGATGGCACTGGCTGGGTTGGTGGTTTAACGGGGTGAGGTCGTCTTTAATCCCTTGAAGCTCATATCTTGCCCTTTGCTCAACATGTGTCTGTGTTTGTGAGCAAGTCATTCAAACGGCACCCGCATAGTTGTTGTGGTATGTAAAGGAAACCCAAAAAAGAAACTCACCTCTCTTCGTCTTCTTCTCCTTTTCTTGCAACGGGGGGGTTCCATTTGTCCGACCCCTTTTCGCCCTGCCTCATCTGCAAAGAGCGCCAGCCTGGGCCAACGAAACTCATCGGAAAGCGAAGCTGAGTCGCTAAACCAGTGGGAACCCCCATAACATCGCCCCATAGGACACTTACTTTGGATCGCCCACAAAATGATGGGAACAACCTGGATGGGGAAATATGGGGCTTTCCCGACACAGGAAAGCATTTTCCAGTGAGCTCCAAAAACCGACGGCGGGCCTTTTCCCCTAAGCCCCAACAAGTGGGAGAGAGATGTCGGCCTCAGCCGCCGCGCCGCCACGTGCAGCCGCTTTTCAAGAGGGAACGATCTGTCGGAAACAGCTTCTACATGTGTCTTGAAATCGGGGAACCGGCAAAATGGCTCCTTTTAGTTTCCTTGCCAAAAAGGGCGTACCAAGTCCAAAGGAGGCACCCTCTCATGCCAGAAGGACCTCAAAGTAAATGGTCTTGGGCTGGGAATGGACCAACATGTCGTGGGAAAACCCAAAGGTCCAATGGCGCCCTCTCCTTGGGCCAAATCTGGAGTACACCAAGAGTCATGTTGTCAGATTCTGGTCCATATTTAGTCTGCCCTGAAATATCATTCAAGCTCGTTTGCTGTGCCAGTCTCATAATGGCAGGGTTTGGCAGGGATCACTTGGGGCAGGACCTGCTCTACAATTGAGCAGCGCCCAAAAAGCTATTGGGCATTTGCCTGTTTTCATCTGCTCCTTTATACTAACCATCTCAGTCGAACCAAACTTTAATGGGTGAAACGGGCGCTCCTCAATTGTGTGCGTTGCTTGCCTGAAGAGTTTCAGCAGTTCGCAGCTGCTACTCGCGACCGCAACGCAGGGTGACCTTCCAAGAACAGGCAGGACCATGCTCTGTGCAAATATTCTGAATGTTGGTCTGAAAGCTCTCGAATGCGTCTGAAAACTAGGGGACCCCCCATGCCCTTGGAACCCAAGGTTAATTTATTTGGGTTCAATCTCCGAATTGTTTGACACATACCAAGGTTCTAACATTCACTCACTTGATGGTTCTAACATTCACTCACTTGATGAGTGCATCCAATGGCATACGCTTTGCTACAAGAGATGAGGGAAAATATCAACCGCTGCTCGGATTGGGGGGTTAGTCTTGCGTAGTGTTTCTTAACGGGAAACCAGATGGACACCAGCAAATTTGGGCTCCCCTTGCAAACAAATCCAAACAGAAACTTTGCTGCCCCAAAGAACCAGGCACTCTGCCATGCCATTTCGTCCGTCAACAAATCCACTCATCTCCTCTGGTAAACAATCACATTGCCAATGTGGGTTGCCTCAGAGAGGTGAGCACAATGGGCTGGCACTCAGCTCTCAAGCAAAAGGCTAAGTGCTCTGCGAAAGGCTGGGCAGCAGCGCAAGCTGTATCCTGGCCGGCTACTGGTTTGCTCTTGGGCCAGGATGTGTCTTGTTTCGAGAGCCTTTGACCCATACAATCCACAGCCCATAACAACCACACAGCGCACAAACGCACAAACATACGGAGCAAAGACACAGACACCGACACAGACAAACACAGACATAGAAAAACACACACACGCACACTGACAAATAAACAAACAAACAAGCAAACAAGCAAACTGAACAAAACAAACAAACAAACAAACAAACAAACAAACAAACAAACAAACAAACAAACAAATGCACACAGGCACACACAAAGACACAGCGACAGACAAAAACACAGCCACAGACATAAACACAGACACAAACACAGACAAAGACACACACACACACACAAACACAAACAACCAAACAAACAAACAAATGTTAAACCAGCAAAACAAACAAACAAGCAAACAAACAAACAAACACACAGACACAGACACAAACGCAGACACAGACACAGTCACAAACACAGACCCGCACGCACACGCACACGCGCGCGCGCACGCGCACACGCACGCACGCACACACACGCACGCACGCACACACGCACGCCAGCACGCACGCACGCACGCACGCACACAAATACACACAAGTACACACACATAAAAAACAGAAGCACAAACAGAGACACACACACACACACACACAAACAAACACAAACACAACACAAACACACCACGCACACACGCTCACACACACACACCACACACGCACACGCACAGGCATACCCACACGCACGCACAGAGATACACGCAGAGACACATAAAGGCACCAAAGAGGCGAACCTCCTTCCGTTGCGCCAATGTGAAAGGGGATCTTTGACAAAATGTAGGTATCATGCTCAAAAGCGTCTGCCTGCCGAACTACCACTCTCCGAACCTATCAAATCCAATCCGGCTGAAGCACGAGTGTGCCATGATAATTTCCCTCCGTAAGAGAGAGAGAGAGAGTCACCTTGAAGGTCATGAGGCAAGCCCAACGTTTGGCGGCTGCAGGCCAGCTCAGTGCATCAGCTGCGTCATCCACGTCCAATGTTCACGGACGCCTAGGGGGAGCTATGGGGGGGTATCCATGGACAAGGACAAGCCCTTAATAAGGCCGTCTTAAGGGATTAATAAGGGATAGCCCTCTAGGAATCCATGACATGTCTTCACAATCCTCCCGCCCGGAATCTTGCCTGCGCCACATCCTGGGAGCAAGGCCTGAGCAACCAAGCATGCACAAATGCACAAGCTGAACTCGAATGCAATCTTGGTGGCGACTTAATTGTCTTAGGTTTTTGGGACAATTGTCAAGTTAAATGATGAAGAGCCAACCCAATAGCAACCACACAATAAGACGAGACACTACACTTTGCTTATTGGACATTATTGGACAATTGCTTTTGTCCCCCAACAAGTTAAAGTTATCAATGTTGAAGATCCAACCCAGCAATCACACGCAAAAGGCCGTCCTCAGGCAAAGGCCGCCGAACGGCAGCGCCACTCCAAGGTCAGTGGGACGTTGAGCCGAAGTTGCAGAAGTCGACTTTTCAAGGCCACTTCAACATGAAGCCCAGCAACCCGGAAAGTCAGGAACAGCACAATGCGATTTTCGTGCTGTCTGTTTTGTCTAGATATTGATGCGGCAACATAGCTTTCAACTGTCCATCGCATGGGCAGCTACATGGCAGCTACATGGTGTGCGGATGGTTTCGACCCTCTTTGGCCCTCGACCCGCAGGCGGCAGAATAGGACAAAGAGGGCCCGAACATACGGAGATCTGCGACAATATGCTCTTTCCTGTGTAAGGGGCTGTGACCACCTCATACGGCTTGCATATCGTGACGTGCTACTGCAACACTCCAGATTTCATTGACTCCCTAGTCCCAGTCACCTGTGCAAGGCATTCTCGTGCAATGTTGTTGGCTTGCATTTGAGGTCATACAATCAAGTCTGCAGTCATAAAGCAAGGCATGCACAAGCTCAACCGTAATTGGGATGTCTTCTTGTCGTGTTTCACTACTGAACCCCGGTTGTGCCCCTTGGCAAACTGCCAACTTATCCGGAACATATTGTCCACTTCAAGAACGAATCCCTCGGACTACGTAGCACTATCGCAAGCAGTCTGTTTTGGCGGCCGCCAATCTGTACTTCTGTGGTAAGCAAACGATTGCAAAAAGCCAATGGCTAAGGGGTTCAGCATCTTCACATGCCTCACAATATGAGACTGGGGCGCAAGCAACTTGCGCATATCGTTGGATCACGGATTGGGTGATTCCACCCCCCGTTTGAACCAACCGGCATCAACGCCTATTGCCTAAACCAACCTCCTTTTCCTTCCAGATTCCCCCTCAAGGGGAGCTAGGGTTCGGATGCTTTACAAATTTGCCGAGCTGTCACTCCACCTTGAAGGCTCCACATGCTTTCTCGGACTCCTCCCACAAGATCTTCCCACCTTGGTGGCTGCCGGCACAAGAAAAGTCTAAAACTCTTGCTGGCAAGTGGGAAACAAGAACATATTCTCCCCCCCTCCCCACCCCAGACCCTAAAAAACCCACCGCCACCCACCCCAAACCCTTAAAAAACCCGCCAGCTTTCCAAGCCAAGCGCGAAGACCGTCCAAGCCGCTTTCCGGCTTCGTCCACAAGGGCTCGGGCGCGATCTTGGTGGGCGGGCCCTTGATGTTTCCCATGCCCTCGGGCTCAAAGAAGTCCCCGGACTCCACGCCTGCGACGGGAGAGATGCAAAAGCATGGGACCTGAACCGCGGAAACCCAAGCCCCCGGTAAAACACGCAAAAGCCTTGACGTTGGAAGGGGAGCATTTGTGTTTTTTTACTTTTAGCAGTTATGTGGTTGGATTTCAACCACTAAACCACAATAAGCAAAAATGTAAAATGTTTCCCAACAACCACCATGCAGTAGAGAGGTTAGACGGGAACCCGATTTATTCTCTGTAGTCTATGGTAGGGGAACCCTCCCAACCAGAAAAAGGGGAGAGAAGGGCACCTAGCTGCGACACCTAGATAAGCATCAGATCCGAACCACGGAAACCCACGTCGGTAAAACTGGGGCCATTGGCCTTCCGGAAGTTCCATGCTGTCCGTTTTGGGCCCATTCGCTTGGCCCTCACCGGGATTGAACCCAGGGTGCGCCGTTGGCCACCTTTCGGGAAAAGAGTGGCACACGTGGATTGGATTGGTGGTTAACATTGGTTATGGGATGGATTCCCTTTTGTCGTCTACCAGGTTCAAGTCCCCAAAACGCCAATCCAAACCAACAATTAAGGATTGCCTGAAATCAGGCAGTCTCCAAAGAACAAGTCTGACACAACCAAACACTGGCCCTATCCCTTTGAAAACTGCGAGGGCAAACAACACACATTGCGTCTGGCCCCGACAGGATTCTTTGCCCGGAAGCTCTTGCCATCAGGGCCCCAGGACTTTCCCAGAGACCTCGTGTGGTTGGATGAATGGCCTTCTATTTGCTTAAGAGGCGGTGTCAAAGGACAGGTTTTCCTCTACTTCCCCCCCTAGACCAAGGGAAACTCACTCTAATTGGGCCAAGAAGACTGCCAGCGCAGCATTGGAGTAGGGGCATGGTGCCATCCTGGTCGTGTGACGCGGTCCCGACAGTGCGTCAATCCCGGAAATGCCATCCTGGACCTTCAAACTCCGGGAAATTTCTAGGTGTTTTTGGAGACCCCTACGATTTACGAACTCCAGTGGTTAAGCTGCAATTTGGGCAAACACACATACGATTTGCGTCGCTTCCAGTTGCGCATTGGCCATACAAAGCAAATACACCTCGCAGCACTTGCCAAGGTGCCAGCGAACACCATGGGATGCCTTGATCATCAAAACTACGACTTTTTCTGATTCACGGGAGTTTGCGGGTTTGTGCGGGATATTTGCGGAAATGTGCGGGCGTTTTGCGGTCAACGTTGGACCGCCGTTGCATGGTTTTACATGCTTGCGGGCTGCATTAAGCCCCTGCAAAGCCTTCTTTTATCTGTCAAAGGCCGCATAGTGTGTGTTTAGGAGCTTTAGGAGTTCCAGATTTTTGCGGCAACAAGTGCTACGATTTCCCGAATATCCCGTCAAAGGCGGAAGCTACTTTTTCAGGAGGACGAAGGTCCAGGATGCTTGTTTACGCCCATGGAAGCTTGCGTGAAATTTCAATCTGAGTTTACAGCAGTTCCACCTGAAATACAAAAAATGCGCAACCGTGAAAGTCTCTATCACCTTTCATGAGCGAGCTGAAGCTTTTCGAGCGAATCCTTCCTCTTTAGAATGGCTTTGTGGGCTGCTCGAAACAAATGAAATCATGATCATGGGGCAATACGGTGCGTCACGATTCAGTGCCTTATAATCATACTATCTGCATGTTGTTTACAACAGATCCAACACCGGAAACAAGAAGCGGTCTATTCCCCAGTAAAACTGCGCGGCTTTCGCTCGTTTTACTCCCGAAGCGATCTCGAACCCCATGGAATCGGCACAAATCCTGGACATGAAGCTGAACAGCTTGCAAGTCTCCACTAAAACCCAACGGGGAAGGAAGGGGGTGGCGTGTGGCTCGAATGAGACCAAAGGAGCTTCACACGGACTTGAGTCCTGAATTGGACACCTGGATTCCTTGCTTGTTTTTGCCCAGCTATAGACAAACCCATCTCGAAATGGAAGATAATCGCGGCAATCAAGGGTGCAACCAGTTGCAACTCTTGCATGCGGATGCGCAACATCCACAGTCCAATGGGTCTCATGACCAATCCGGACTTGAGTTATCGGGCGAAATTGTGGAGTTGGGGACGGCACGAGGCTGTACCAGTCGACTGATTGCTTTAGCCGGCTTTCCTAGGTCACTAAAAACGCAGGATCATTTTCAACCCAAGAGTCGGAAGTGCAAATGCTAGCACAGTTCACCTCGGCTGTGTCGAATCAGGGCTCTTCCGAGTCGTGGTTTGGTTTGAGATTTGTTGACTGTCTTGGTGCTAAATAAGCGATGGCCAAACATTGAACAAATAGTTGTGTGTCTTCACTCTGGCAACAACTCAGCCTCGCCAACCCCCACACTAAGTGTACTCTGGTGTCTGCATCTTGGAATGTCAAAACACAAAAAGCTGAACTCAGCTGCGCTATTCCGCCAAGGGAGCAGTTTGGCGGGAAACGCAAGCGGCGAAATCTTGGACTTCACATCCAACGAACTGCTTAAAAGCACTCCGAGACTCGCCAACCCCCACTTGCAAGCCCTCTCTGAAGGGAATCAAAGCAAGGCTGTTTCAACAAAGCTGGCTGAGGTTCAGACCAAGGTGGTTGAATTGAAAAAACAAAAAACATCCTTAGTCTTTGTCTCTCTCACGCTGCCCGGCTCACCCGTCCTCCCCGGACTGGCCGAAGCGCATGATCCAGGGCGCATGGAATCCGTCGTCCTGGCTGGTTGTCACCTGCCGGCGCCAACGACGAGGGGTGTCAAAAGTGTGGCAACCCATTTTGGACCCGTTCCAAGTGCCGCCGGTGCCGCCTAAAGGGCATACCAACAAGGGGCCCCCTAATCAACAAACCCTCAAGAGGACATGACGCAACGACATGCAACTCGAAACATCCCAACAAGGCATCCCAGGCATCCCAGCCATCCCAGAAATTGTGGGCTCCAGCTTCTCAATAGCACTTGCCACTCTGCCCCGCGAATTCGAAGACAAGCAATATAATGTTTTGCCCAATTATTGACATCCGGCGTGCGCCACTGCAGCCTTCATGACCGATGGTTTCCACTATCCAAACCACCAATCAGAGAAAAACAGCGTATACCCCCCTGTGGCTATATAGTTCCTGCACCTCCCATTAATCCCCTGGGCAGTCCGTGGGCATGTGTTTTGGTTGACCTTTTTTCTCGTCGACGAACTGTTGAAAATCCCCTGTGGCTTTTTCGTGGTTGCACCTCCGATTAAACCCCCTGGGCTAGTGTTTGGCTGTCACGCGCATTTCTTTTGGAACGCCTGAGACCGGAACCCGAGTTCCCCGCCTGCAGGTTGGTGGCCGCCAGCCCGGGCGCTGCGCAGCACGCCTCTGGCCCAATTTTTGGGCTAGCCCCTAGCAGATCCCCAGCCCAAAAAAGAAGATGCGGGTCTCGCGCAAAGTAGGGGAAACTCTGTTTGGAGAGGAAACAAAAGGGAAACAAAAGGCAAGGGAAGCAAAAGGAAAAGAAAAAAAAAGACAGACAATTCCCTCTTTAAGAGCATCCCCACGCCCGCCTTGACCTTGGAGTTGGCCGCACGGAGCCTCACGGCGATGCTTTTTGTCTCGCGTGGTTTTCAAGTGAGGTGAAAAGGAAGCCCCGAGTTATGGGTGTTGAACTCAAAACAAGGGTCGCCCAATGTGGGCTTCCCTTCAAATACCAGCCCCCTTTGGGGGGTCACCAATTTAGACCCTCGCATCTAGATTTCTGCGGGATGGTACCACCCCCACTCCTCACTTTGGGTCCCTGGCCTTCTAGCGTATCTTGCATGGTTGCGGGATTTGTCTGACTTCTAAATAGAGGAGCCAAAGGTCGCCATCTCTCAATCGAGAACTGCAACCACGTAAACAACCGCAGCCTTGGCAAAAAGGGAAATCCTGGGAGTATAGAAGCCAAGGTTGGGCGCCAATCCCCTGTGTTCAGCCGCGATTCTTTCAGGAGCCTCCGTTTGGCTGTAAGGGTACCCAAGGTCTGGTTCTTGAAACCACATTTTTCCCTTACCCTATTTTTGTTGCAAGCCGGCAGGTGAGGTCAACCCCGGACTAACACACCTCGCCCGTTAGCTGGGGGGGGGGGGGTGTTTGGCCCTAAAGTGAAGGCTCCCGTGCTCAATGGGGGGTCAACCTTCGAAGGAGCGAGCTTTAGGGAACCAGCCCGAAGGAACCAGCCGAGCGACACAGGTGTTCGCCAGAAATGACCATTGCACCGTGGCTGCAAGGGCAACTGACGGTAAAAGAATGTGTTTAACCAGCCGACACATGATCTGCGAAGGCCCTATGAGTGAGTGTTGCCTGTTTTGGAGTACCTCCCTTTTGGGTGGAATCAACACAAAACCTGCGGTGGAGTTTGGGGTGCTCTTTCCAAGTTCTTGGTGTCATCTTGACCCAGAAAGGAGTCTAAAGGGGTCACATTTTCGACAGTAACCTGGTTGACTTCAGTCCAAACCAAAATCCTGCTACAACTGCAGCGGCCTCAAAGCTCACCATCATCAACGTCAGCAAAGCAGTTACATTGGGTACACTCACCGACTATCCAAATTGGGAAATCGGCATACTTCTCACCAACATCCTCTGTAGTTGCGCACAGAATTGGATTGACTCATGGCTCATGCAAGTTCATGGTTGGGAATGCCCCAATCTGGAACTACACTCCAATTGGACTTTCAAAGGCTTTGGAACACAACCCTCCTCTTGGTTCAGCGAACAGTCTTCCCTTGTCTTCACCTGCCCTTTGGGGACCTGGTGATCAAGGCTCATTGCCTTTTGGCCTTGACTAAACCAAGTTCACAAATGTGTGGAATGAGTTCACCCGGTGTGACCAGCCACCGGACTGGACTGATTGACTGATTCGCCGGCCTGGTGTCCAGCTCCTTGGTGAACACCGCGTTGGCCAACTTCGTCTGGTGATACCTGCGAGGCCAAGCCAGAAAGATGACGCCTTCTAAGGATGCGCCTTCCAGCGGTTCACAGGATGATCTCCGTGCAGTCGAGGCATGCATTCCTCCTAGCAACTAGCTGCAGGACTTGGTCCACTGTAGGGACCGCCCAAAGGAGGCTGTCTCAGCCCAAGGTATACGGATTGAGGCCTGGAACCATATCTGACTCGACCTCGGAGGTGACCGCACCAGGATCAGTCGTCGAATTGGAACCATTGACGGTTCGCAGTTGGTTCATATTGATGGCCTTGGACTTCCAGTTCCGCTGCGCCTCGCACGCTGATCTATCAAGACTTAGTTGATATTAGTTGTGCACTTCCTTACAATGGTTGGGGAACCCGCATCAATGCTTTGTTGTTTTGTTGTTTCTGTTGAATGTGTCCAAAACGGGATCCTTCATTTCAGGACGCCTCCATTGGCTAGTTGACCTGAGCCTGACAAGTCATATTTGCTGGAGCACCTGAACAGACTGAGCAAGTCCTCGTCTTCACTGCGGTTCAACTCCACGGAGGTTCACGACGCTCCGAATGCATCATAATTGAAGCCACGCGTCCATCTTTTTCCGCAAGGAAAAGGCCTAGGTCCCTTTGGACAGGTAGATGGTGGGGATGTTTTTTGCGCCACGCTTGAACCAGTGGAACTTCCTTCCTCTATTGTCCACCAATCTGATTTCAAATGACCCCATTCTTGGCGCGACTTGTTTTAACCTTCCATCCATGCGCGATGTGCCCATCCGAATCCGGCCATCTGACGACCGCCGCCGCCCAACCCCCAGTGCCTAAACAACAGGGAGCCCTTCTTGTCGGTTGGTTTTGCAGGGACAACAAAACCCGCCCAAAGCCGGAAGACGGGAGAAGCAACCCGGGTGTCTGCGCATCGGCTTCGCGCGACTCCAATTCGGAGCGGATTGGGATTCGATTGGCGCCTCTCCCAGCGAGCTCCGCCGAAGAACATGGAGTTGCCGTTGCCCCCAAGGTCACCGCCGTTCTTGCCCAAGTACTTGGCCTCGATCGACCGACCGATCCATCGGCCACAAAAAGGCGAACCGTTTGGCTCCATGGCGAGGGTTGGTATAGAGCTACTCGTCTGAGACGAGGATGTTTTGTGAAAAACAACGAGGAACGAACAAAAAGCCCTGCTTTGACTTCTCTTCGTGATGGTTGGTCCATGTTTGGCGGGAAATATATATTAATTTCGCCAAAAGCTTAAAGTCTAGAGATCCAAACAAATAGCCGCCAAGTGGCCTCCAGGTCCGTGTTCGGGAACTTACGCGCACCTGGGAGATGAAAGCAAGTCTGGGTCTCGAGTGAAACAAAACTGGGTTTTCTCTCACGGAGTTCGAGTGGTTTTAACGGAAAAGAGAAACCACCTTTTTAGAGTAAATTAGTGTGCTTTGCTGATTTGCGCGGGACATTGAGTGATCCCGCATGTGCCTGTAAAATTGACCACAGACTGCTGGACCACTTGGAGCGAAGGCGTTGAAGGGAAGCCACCATGAAGTCAGCCGAGTGTCCCCCTCCCGCTTTGCAATAATTTGTGACATTGCAAAACTCAAGGCGCCATGTGCCCCCTGACCCCCAAACAACCCTCTCGAGCAACCCCAAGTCAGCAGTTCCTTTCACCTCAACACACATAGTCGACGTAGCCCCACGTGAAATGGTCAAGACTGCGAATGTGTTTTTCACGGTCATGGCTCCCTTAGGAATCCCATTTTGGGATGTTGACTATCCCTAAGCAGGTCTCTTGACTTGTTGGTTCTCAGTGAATGAGGGAAAACGGGGGGGGGGGGGGGGGAAAAAGATCAAACGTTCCATGTGGTTTCCTCCAAGTGGATCCTGAGCTTTTCATTCCCAAAACCCTCGAACGATTCCCTGGGAAATACCTTGGTGCGAAGGTCCCAGCTGCCCAGTGGCAAATAGGTGCCGACATATGGGTACCCCAAAAAAAGAGGTTTTCCTTTTGGCTGCCTTACAAAATAATCCCAAAATGCGGTTTCCCAAACAAGATTCAAGATACACCCAATGATTTTTGCGCGTTTTTCTTGTGGAGGGGCACCAAAGAATCAACGCATGCCGTCAGGAACCAGCACCTTGGCCAAAGCACCCGAGCTGTGCTGCACGATCCGCGCCTCACCTCGCTCGCTGGCGGCTTTCTGCAGAAGCGGGTACAGCTCCTCGGGCCGAAATCACGGCCGAAGGTCACGACTCGTTGCCCGAAGATCAGCTTGTCTGATGGTTTGGATTGGTGGTTTGTTGGCTAGATCAAGTTTCCCATTGACTTTCTACAAGGAGCAGGCGTTCAAACCGCCCCAACCACCGATCCAGACCACCAATTAGCCCTTACCTTGACAAAATGACTTGGAAAACTTAGTGACTCCCCTGGCTTTGGGAACATTTACTCGACATCACCACACGCCGCACCTCACATAAGGTTCGGTCGAAACATTCTGATTTGCCTACGGTGAATTTGAGGACTCTCGGTTCTCTAGCGAACCAAGATGGGGATGCTCATGTGCCAAACCGGGGGCACTCCAAAATGGGCCTCGGTGTTCCTTTTGGTTTCCCAGCAAATCAAGCTCAAAAGGGTACCCCTATAAAATTGAAACAAACACATACACACACACACACATTCCGGGATAAGACAAGCAGTTCATGTTCATGCTGTGTGGGCTTATCCTTGACCATTTCATGCCGTGTGTGTACTGATGGCTCCTTGGTGAGGAGAAAATGTGACAAGTGGTTCGTCTGCATCTGCACGTCGTATCCATCCTTGGTCGCCTCCACAGGGGGGGGGGAGCGTAGCACGCCAAAAGGCTCGTAAATCAGAGCAATGGTTGCATGGAAGCAAGCCAAGTAGCCTATAGCCTGTTGCTGTTGTGCTCATACCACTGGCCCAAAAGAGCGCTGCCAACTGGACATACTTTCAGAAGCCCTCAGACTGCTGCACATGTGACTCTTCTGAGAGCTGGGATAAAACGTGTCGGCAACACATGAGGCGCTTTACAAATCAGGGGCCCTTTTCGTATCCCCTTCAAAAGGCAGCGCAAGGCGGCACTGAGGTCCGTAAAGGCGCCATCTGTTTCACAACCCCTTGCCTGGTCGGCGAGAGCCATTACTCCAGCGTTGTTGCAGAGGACGTCAACGCCGGAGCTCCCGAACATGCTCTTCAGCTTGGATGCGGCTGCTTGGACACCTCGGCAAGCACTACAAGCGGCAGCTTGTCGCTCAATTTCGGCACCATGATTCCCAAACTGGAAAGGGAACCCCCTGTAAAGGACCTTTAAAAAAAAAAAACGCTCCTTTTACCCCCGATCGATAAAATCCCCACCCTCAAAAGTCGAGCCTAGGACAAACATTGTCAAACAAAAACGTCCTGTGGCAATACTCCGCTTCTTTTCTTTGACAGCTTTGCTAGGCAATGCTTGAGATGCTTGTCAAAACAGGAAGCAGACCGCGACCCATAGTCCCTCACCTTAAAACGACTCACCATTAGAACCATGATGATGATGATGATGATGATGATGATGATGATGATGATGATGATGATGATGATGATGATGATGATGATGATGATGATGATGATGATGATGATGATGATGATGATGATGATGATGATGATGATGATGATGATGATGATGATGATGATGATGATGATGATGATGATGATGATGATGATGATGATGATGATGACGACGCGGACGTGGATGATGATTATGATTATGGTAGGTGTCATCATCATCATGAAACCATTCAACACAAGTCAAAACAACACCCACCCCTCCAAACACCAACTCATCAAAGCCGTTTACACCAAATCTGAGCGAGCCACTGTTGAGGTCCTGCAAGTCGCACTCCACCTGAAACCAAGGGCACGCCCTCCCGAAAGCAAGTCGAATCAGCTTGCCAGGAACGCCGGGGGAAACCGAAAGGGAAACCTGGGATCAACAAACCACGGGGAAACCCAAGGTTCAGAGTCAGTTTCCCTCCATAAAACTGTTGGAATGGATTGGTCAGTTGAAGGTGGTCTGGGGGGCAACCCAAACCTTCTACAAGAAGGGGGTCAATTCCCTAAACTACCAACCCAAAAGACTTTTTAAGGGCAACCTGATCTGGAGGAACCACAGGACTCACGTAGTTTCCTACAACAAAAAGCAGGCCGGAGGCCTTGCAAATTTCCCATTTTAGGGAACAACAGAATCGCAGCACAATATGCGCCATGGTGCAAGCTCTCTGTGGCTTGCGCTCATGACTCAAATAATATATCAACCGTTACATTGAATATCCAATTTCCCTACTAATGGGCTCATGTTGAGAGTGGGACGCCGAGCTCCATCCGGTCCAGAAATGGGAGCCCAACAGCAAGTTGTCCAAATTGGGCCTCCTGGGAGCGCAAGAGTTATCAGTAGCTTCCCCCTTGAGGGGCCCTAAGAGAGGGGGCTTCACCGACACAACCCCCGAACAAACGGGTTTCTTTCAACTGGGTTTTGGTTCAACAAGAGAACACTTTCCGCCACACGTTCCGCAACAGCAAATGTTGCTCAACAGGAGTGGTTTAATGTTAACCCCGGATTAATAAATCCCTGGTTGATTTTGATTGGAGGGTGTCCGCTTTTAGTGGTTGGATTCAGACCACTTTTGGAGGGAACCCCCTGAAAAATGGGACCGCTTTATTAATCCTGGGTCAACATTGAGATGGATTCTCTTGAGCCTCTCGAGGCAATCCGACGCCTGTGTGACTTTGGCGTTGGGAACCTCCTCCTTCAGCGCCTTCTCCGCTGCTTCCGCCCGGCCGCCTTGCGTGGGACGTCCGGGCACCACACGGCTTCCACGTAATAGGACAGGTTGCTCAGTACTTTTTGGAGGGCCGGCGCATTGGAAAAGAGGCCTGTGGACGTTGTATATTGGTAGCCGAAAGTGTGGCAGTTGAAGGATACATGCCTCCACAAAACTACAGGGATTGCGGTTATGCTGGAGAGACAAGATTTAGATAACAGGCTACACCCAAAACCACTGCCCTTTTTGCATCCGCTTGTAGGCGCCACAACACCTCGCCATGATTCCAAACAAGTTGATAGTCGTCCACCCCGTTACCCAGGGCTGCCAGCTCTCGTCTTGGCTGGCTCAAATGCGCGCACTACGCATGACGCGCGCACGCAAGCACCACCATGGCACAGTCAAGAGCCGGAAATGGTGGCACTTCCTGATGCGTCGCGGACTTGGGAGAGAAAAGACCAGCTAGCTGAACACAAGTGCTAAAACACGGCCACGCTGTATGTATGTATGTATGTATATATATATATATACACATACAGAAACATGTAAATATGGTTTTACATATTTTTGCGTGGGGGTGATTTGTGCTTGCTTCCTTGTGTGGTTCGCTTGATTGTTTATGTGCTTGATTGCTTGCTTGATTGATCGTCTGCCTTCCTTGTTGGCTTGTCTGCTGTGTTTGTGATTGTTCGTTCGTTCGTTTGTTCGTTCGTTTGTTTGTTTGTCTGTGTGTCTGTCTGTCTGTCTGTCTGTCTGTCTGTCTGTCTGTCTGTCAGTCAGTCAGTCAGTCAGTCAGTCAGTCAGTCAGTCAGTCAGTCAGTCAGTCAGTCAGTCAGTCAGTCTGTCTGTCTGTCTGTCTGTAATTTGTTTGTGTGTGTGTGTTTGTTTGACTTGCCTGCTCGCTCGCTCGCTTGCTTTGCTTAGTTGATTACTTGTATGATTGCTTGTTTGGTTGTTTGTTTGTTTGCTTGTGTTTGTTTGTTTGTTTATTTGTTTGTTTGTGTCAGTCTTCACTTGTGTTACTGGTTGTTTGCTTGTTTGCTTGCTTGCTTGCTTGCGTGTTCGTTTATGTATTCCTTTCTGTATTAATTTGTTCTTGTTGATTAATAATTGTATTTAGTTAGTTATGTGTTTTGTTGTATTTCTTTATTGTGCTGTGTGCTTGTTGTTTGATGGTTTGTTTGTTTGTTTGATTGATCTTGTTTGTTTGTTTGTTTGTTTGTTTGTTTCATTAGTTGATATATTTATTATCGTAGTTCTTTCTTGTCTGTCTTTGTTTGATTCATTGTTTGTCTGCTTGTGCTTTTGCCTGCTTGTTTGCTTGCTTGCTCGCTCGCGTGCTCGCTTGCTTGCTCGTGTCTGGTTGTTTATTTGCTTACTTGGTTCTTTGTTTGCTTGCTTGTTTGTTTGTGTGTTGTGTGTGTGGGAGTGTGTGTGTGTGCGCGTGGTTCTGAGTGTGCATGATTTGTTTTGTCTATGTGTCCGTTTGCTTGTGTGTGTGTGCGTGTGTTTGTGTGTGGTACGTGTTTGGCGTGTGTGCGCGAGGTTTGTGATCGCGCTTGTTGTGTGCTTGCATGTACCTGCGTACCCGCAAGCTTGCGGAAGTGCTCCGTGTGCACTCCGTGCCACACAAGCGGATCTTTGAGGCGAGTTCAAGACCCGGTGCCCGACCCCAGCCATCTGCCAGGGGGCTCTGGCGGTTCAGCATCACCACGTGCGCGCCCTTGCCTTGGTCAATGTTAAAGCCCCCAGGCACTGCAAAGGGGGCCAAATCCTTTTGTACCCAAGTTGAAAGGATGTCTTTTCCTTGAACAGCCCAGTCAGATAGGAGAAACATGTCTGCAAATTCGTTCCAACATCTAAAATCAAAGCCAATCTTTGAGCCCCAAGAAGCGAAACGTTGCAGTTCGAGGGCAAAGTCACTGTCCAACAAAAGCACAGAGGTTTTGAGGTCGCACGAGGCAAGTAAGAGCTCACCAAGGGCCCTGCGCGCCGCAGTGCGGGCCGCCACGTACCCAGTACCGGAGGTGCATCCAGTGATGCAGAAGACCTCCCAAGTGGGCGTCAAATCCCTGGATCAAAACCCAGACCAGTGGCTATGGGAAAATGGGCAGACTCTTTCGGGTAGCTGACTTACAAGGGAAACCCCCTCCTTGAAAAAAAGGAAGGCAACCTGGGTGTCTGGGAAAATGTACTCAAACCCACCCAAAGGCATAGCTTTCCTGTTGGGTTCCGTGGAATTCTGGGGATCTTAAAAGTGGAATGTGGAAATCGAGGAGCACGGATGACCAACGCCAAAACCTGTGCACACCTCGCCGCACCTATCCAAGGTGGAAACGGTCGAAGCGGACTTTCGCCAGTTGAATCCATCAACCTACAACACTGATCTAAACCGACCCCTACGTGAGTAGAGTGATAGGAAAAAGGTACAAAGCTGCCGAGCAAATGGTCCAAACGAATCCTACGGTGCCTGAAACAAGCCCCGCCATTTAAACAATCCCTGTATCGAGTCTTTCTGCCCCATTTGCGCAGCGGGGATTCATGTTGAAACGGGGTCAAAAGATTGTGTCAACAGCCAAACAAGCAGTGTCCCTCAAAGCATACACCTAAAATCACCTGGTACATGAAGAAGCCCTGTGAAACAGCCGGTAAAGTTTTATTTTGAGCAACAACTTCTGAGGACCCTCGACAGCTTGGGGGAAGGAACTTTTGGACTTGGAAAACCCTTCGCCTTGTTCTCCAGGGATGGCAGGTTGGCCTCAAAGTCTGGGAACCATTTGGTGGGGACCTCCGCCGGCGCAGTGTAGGAGCTCCCCGAAAAGGCGCCGCCCATGGCGACCGCGGGACCGAGCGAAGCTCGAGCGAAGCTGGACCGGAGCGTCCGGGAGGCGGAAAAGAGGCGGCCTTGAACCTCGGGGCGAAAATCCATCGGCAATATTTTGAAGAATTGAAGATAAAGAAAGCTCCTCTGGAAGGCTTCGAGCTCAAGGACCCTTTTGAGGCACCGAGATTAAAAAAAAGAAGGAAGGGGGGTCACGGTTGCTTCAAGGAAACCATCAGTCTCGATTAGCTAAACAAAAGCTCATCTGAGCGCCGGGTTTGGGAGGCGTTCATCTGGCAACTGTCTCATTCACCAGCTGTTTTCGGGAATCGTCCATTCATTGCTGATTTGCTCCCTGAAAGACTGCCAGATTTTCTCGCTACCTCAAATTGTTTGGAGGTCCACCCCTGCCACACCTCTACTTTGCATACTGTTCAATGTGAGCAGCAGCAAAAGCATTCACAATATGCATCATGGTCATTGTGATCGTTGAAATCGTTGTTGTACATGGTGAAACAGTCCCAATGAGGCAGAAGTAAGGTGTACACTCAGGCGGCAGTTGGAAATGGGAGAATGGTCATGAGCATCCCGTATAAAGGAACATCAATATGGGTATGTGTCAGAATGGGGGACCCCCCCCAAAAAAAAAGAAAGAAATAATGATAGTTGTCCGTTTAGTTTTCCTTTAAACCAGTCTCAAAAAAAAAACCCTCAAAAAGAAACACCTTTATATAGAAGCATGCTACGTGCATGCCTGAGGATGCTTTGGCCCTGCACCCATTTTAACCATGAGATACAGAGGGGCTGCCACTACAGCAGGTGAACATAGATGGAGTTACTCCCTTGATGCGGGTAAGTCAAGGAGGATGTCTAAACCTGAATGGGGAGATTGTGCCATCTACTCCTCAGCATTTGCTTCATAACTCCCCACAGGCCAGCGACAATAAGGTGGCCAAACCTCGGACTTTAAGCAAATCGGCGAAGCGGCTGCCTTTTCCCACGGATTGCTCGCGCGCGTCTGCGCCAGGTCTGTTGAAATCCCCGGAAGCCGCGGAACCGAAGAATACGCTGGATGGGGGTCAGCCGCCCAAAAACGAGATCTCGCTTTGTCACCTCTTGCCGTTTGGTTTGGATGTACCTTCCCGTTGGCTTCCAGAACCGAGGGCTCAGATATCCCCAATGCCAACCCAAAACCAAAGATCATTTGACGTGAAAGAAAGAGCAGCCCACGAACGGCAGTTGGGTTTCGGAGTTCGGAACGGCTTTCAGGGGTTCCTGGTAGGGGGGGTTTTGCTGGGGATGCGAGCTGATTTTAGTTTGGCTCACTTGGAGAAGGTAAACAGCTTCACATCCATCACCAGGTCCGGCTGATAGACCTCGGAATTGCACATCCTTTGAACCGTGAACGTTTGCCTTCGTGCGTGTTTCCATGTCGCTGCATTGCAGGTGGGGGGTGGAGGGGGCGGCTGGCGCCGCGTGCGTTGGTCTAGCGAACAGAAACCGTTCAATGTTCTTTGGCGCTTGTTTGCTCGGGGCAAGTGTGAGGCCCGCGACGGGGAGATTGTTCCGCCCATGAATTTGTAAAGCCCGCAAATTGAACGGGGGGGTACACCCTGAAACAGGAACAACTTCACACAACAAGGGTACCATGAAACCACCGAAGCGAGCCCTGGCAACCGTTGAGTGTCCCGGTCTCGGGTCTGGACCCGATTGGGGTTGAGGTAGATGTTGCGGAAGCCTCGGGCTCCGATTGAAACCAAGGCCTTCCGGGAATCCGGGAACCAACAAGTTGTTTTAGAGGTACAATATGTTGAAGAGGTCGCATCGGTTGTATGACTTTTCGCTCCTCAAGCCGGGTGAGTTTCTCTATGAGTCTCTTCCATTCACATGAAAAGTACTGGAGGTTGATGTCAAATCCCCTTTGACGGAAACCGGCCGCTTTTTGGTGAACATCACTTGTGACGGTCGGAGCCATCTTCAACAGAATGCAAGTGATCCCAGGCAACCCACTATATACCAAATTTCATAAATAACCATAAATAACCAGGTAGATTTTATATGAAACAGTGAGGCAGATAACCAGGGATTGCCCCTTCTCATTTTGGAATGGTGGATTCCCTTGATTCTCCAACTCGCGCTAAGTGGAACTGGGCAAATCTTGTTGTGCACAACTTCGCCAGCTTCCCACTGAGTCTGATCCATGGCCAGCTTCTCCATCCGTTGCTTGAGAGGCCACTCACGCGTCAACTCGGCCGGGTGGCGCCCGGATCTGATGCCAAAGCCAAGTGGTAGCTTGAAGAGAATGCCAACTCCGACCTTGACAACTTGATCCCAACCAAATCCAGAACCCAAATCAGGGGGCCAGTCACAATGGGCCACGCTTGGCCATAAACTCCACCAAGTTTGGTCCTTTGATGTTGTGTTGCTTTCTTTGGTCACTGCCATGCTGGCCAGCTTGCCAGGCTTCTCTTTTTTCATGCGAAAAAGAACAAAAGTTCTAAACAAGCCGACCCTGGTCGGGTTGTTGTCCCAGTTAAAGGGAAACCGCACGGCGTTTGCTCCAGCAATGGTGGCGCATCTCGCCGCTCGACGCTCGACGCCGAGCAGCGCTGGAACTCTGCAAAGTTGGGCGGCACGGGTTGCCTCGGGCAAGCGCGGCTTAAACGCTTGGCTGTGTGACGTGGTCAACCAGGGAGGAGTTCAGAATCCAGGGAGTACTGTTGATTCTTATTCATAGACGCTCCAGTGGTTGATGAGGTTCCCTGGAAGAAAGACATCTCCACTAAAACGGGACCCCTGGTTGATAACCGGGAGATCTATCAATCAGGTAGGCGTTTCCCCTAGCATTGTGCCCTGATTGACAGTGGGCTCCGTACGACTTGCTGAGGACAGACCAAATACTGCTAGCGCCAAGTGCTCTTGAGTCTTCTAGCACATTTTCTGAATTGGCAACGGAACCTTCCAGGCTGGTTTATTTAGCACGTGTGCCAAACGGGAGATTGTGAGCCAGGTTGTCCACCACGCACCAACTGGTTGGTGTTGCCACTGAGATAACTTGACTGCTTGCTGCCTGGACTGTTCCTGGAACTTTCGGGGCAACTTACTATAAGTCACAATCTGGAAACAAGGAATAAGAGTCATATTCCAGACAAAAAAACATCTTCAACATGATTCCATACTAATTAGGAATCCTCAAGAAAAAAACACTCATGGGGCCCCGAGCTCGTTTCACCCCTCATCGCTCGCGACATGCGCCCGCCGCTGAGGGCCCCTGCTTTGACTCGTCCGTGTAGCCGAGGGTCTGGGGCACGACGATTCGGCGAATTCCGCCTCTGCGCGCACGGCACGAAGGAGGCGGGGGCCAGGAGTCCCCAATATTTGCACCTGTACACGTCGCCCCTGGTACTGTTCTGTCTATGCACATACATATATATATATGTATATATGTGTATACATATTTTAAAATTTATACAATATATGTTTATACATGTTTTAACATATATATATATATATACACATACTATATTCGGCAACCCAGGAACTCACACATCGTCCCCAAAAGCCGATGTTTAGACCAAGCAGAGGGGGAAATCCAATTCGATAATGTCAGGCTGAGAAAGGCAGTGGATTGAGGGAGCTACATATTCGGAGCTGAAACGGTCGCATTCCCCACAAAGTTCAGCTTCCCTCTGGTTGCTGGTTTGGATCTGTGGTTTAAAGTTTAGAGTTTCCCATCTAACTCGGCAAGAATGGGGGGTCAAATCGTCATATCCCCACTAATCCAAACCACAAAGTCAGGGCAACCTGCAAAGTGCTGGGTCTGCCTTTCCGAACCAACCCACAGGAAGGACCCGTCGGCCGAGCAATTTGCTCACGGCCTTCTCGCATCGTCAGCACAGCTTCCGTGAGGCCCCTGCGTGGTGAGAAGTCCAACCATCCGGGCCCCAACCACTGCGTTTGGGACAATACCTTGGTTGCTGTTAACCCCCTGCAAAAAGTTTAACTTTTTGGGGGTTTAGTGGAAATACCTTTATTTCCAAACAAGTTAAAGTCTAAAGATTCCATCCAATAGCAGTCAAGATACTAAGACACTGAAAACAAATCTGCCAAGCCCATCTAACTCAGTTTAGGTGAACTACAATAATTCACCGACCCACAATGAGGGATCCCTCCAGGGAACCTTCATTGCTGAGGCGCAATCCCTTGAGACGGCGCATTAACTTCCGCAAATACATTGAGTGCGAAGGATCTTCAACGGACCTTCTCAATCTATTGTGGGTCCTGGAGCCCAAACAACGGACAAATCAAATCGACGTCTAACCCCAAATCAGAGGCGAAAACCAAGCCCTCAAACTTCATGGATCAAACGGCTTGGCTCTGGTTCGGCGGTGAGGAAGACTAACCAAAAAGCACCTCCCCCGTCAATTCGGAAGCACATCGTCAAACACGACCCTGGTCCCACAAATAAGAAGGATCTCTAGAAATTTGACGCAGCATGCCGTTTTGCAAGGCTTGCTTAGAGAAGTGCCGCAGACCTCCAAAATCAGCGATGCCACGTCTCCACCATCAGAATGGGAACTCCAAATCCTGCATTTGGCTCTGAATTTTAATAGGGAACCACCTCAAAAAAGGCTGGCGGGCATGAATCCCCACCTAAATGATGTCCACCTAAAGGTCCCTGATTAAACGTGGGTACAACGAATCTTCCATCCTGTGATGCCCAATTCGTGCTGTCAATCTGGGTTGAACGTGATTTACATGGGTGCTGATGTCCACCAATCATTTGTGAGGTGGCCCCCTATTAAACCATAGCCACATCGAAACCCTCCGCGACCCGACATCACAACCCTTTTCTCCAGGGTCGGGTTGGGGCCTCTGAGGCTCTGCTTGGTCTCGGGTATACTTTGGGACTCCGTATGAGTTGATTCCGGACGAGACAACGACTGGGAGCCCCCATTGTTTTGACGGACCGAAATACTGATCAGTCAAACTTGCAGAGCCTGGAACTCGCCCCAGTGTTTTTTTGGTGGGACATCGCCATCACCGTCGACGCGCTGAGTTGCAAAAGCACGCCAGTAGCCAAGGATGTGCG